GATAAGATGGACTCCTGTAGTACACCGGCATTCGCTGACATGAGCTGCGAATTACATTCGTACATAAGGACGCGACTTCTACGCACATGATTCCTATATATGTGAGCCACCTTGGCACAGAGCATGAAAAGAAAAAGCTTGGAGAGAAGAATTTTGTGCCAGACCCTACAGAAAGACTGTCAATAGCCTCACCCCAAATGTGTCTCACGTATGCTCATTCATAATTTCGTCCGTTCCCCGTTTTCCCGTTCAATCATTAGACAGAGAGTGGTGCTCTATCTTATATACTAACTACTATGTAATTTGTGCTTTAGGTAACGGAACTTTCAAACCATGCTTAGGTAGGATAGATTTATTGGGTAAATCTTGGGAATTAAAGAAACGGGGCTTCGTCCACTTCTATAATAATCCACGCGACACCACTGGAAGAGTCCAAATTCAAGATGCTGATCCCTGGGATATAGCATAGCATAGGAAGTAGTCGAAATGCTAACATGTAAATGCCAAGGATCCGAAAACCAAAAACAAACGGTAAATTTGCACAACTTCATAAAATAATAAAAGTGATATTTTTAAATGCACAGCAAATAACTTATTACCCATCAAGTTATTTACAGCAATTATATGCATTTTACATCAAAATAATTATTTTACTGCAAACAAAACATTTGTTGAACAAAACTAGTGCTGAAAATAATTCAAAAATACATCTAATCTGTAGTAACAAAAAACTTTAATTGTACTGAAATATGATTTTCATATCAAATATACTGTTGCACTGCAAATATACAGATTGCACAGAAAATTACAGGGGGTTCGATGCAAAATACTCACACTCATAACAAAACAACTATTTTCGCAACAGATTTCTCATTAAGTATTTCAAAACTTGCTCAACATTGGGACACTTTTGATGGTTATAAAAAAGCGAGTGTGCTTATGACAACACGACTGAAGTGAAACTTCTTTAGCTCCAATGATCTGAAAATCATAAACTTAACCTGAAGATTTGTTGATAGAAAAAACAAACCACCAATCTGCGCTGGGTCCGTTATTACCCTCCAATCTGGGTCCGTTATCACCCACCAATCCGCACTAGGTCCATTATCACCCACTAATCCGCTCTGGGTCCAGCGCGGATTGGAGGGTGCTCCAATCCGCGCTGGGTCCATTATCACCAACCAATCTGCGCTGGGTCCGTTATCACCCACCAAGCACTAATTTCATGTATTTTGTGACGGGTATTGACCATTGTTTACCGATGAGTCACCAATGACACTAATCGTAACGCGAAATCCTAACACATTCCCCCCAAGTCAAGCGTGCCTAAAGAAGTTTCACTTTAATAATTAGATTCTTATGTCAATTAAAATGGTCTTTCACTTATGTAAACTGCAGTATGAGATAAGAATATGGCAGCTTTGTTTAAAAAAAAAGATTTAATAGATTTTTTGTGAGGTGGTTATTATTAATTATGCATTCTTAAAAAAGTTAAGTTAAATAGCGATGCATCAGAATAACAATACTAGCTGTTCCAGCGAACTTCGTACCGCCATAAAAAAAATAGGGGTTGGTGGTAGAAGGGAAAATTTTGGGTTGTATGTATTTTTGTATGATGTATTATAAAAAGAAAAGAAAAAACTTTGTCCAAAAAGAAAAAAAAAATTAAGGGTGGACCACCCTTAAACCATTTAGGGGGATGAAAAATAAATGTTGCCTGATTCACAGTATGAATAATAATAATAATATTCAGAATATGTATAAAATTTCACGAAAATCGGTCGAGCCGTTTCGTAGTAGTTCAATAACGCACATCGGGACACGAGAATTTTATATATTAGATTTTGAGGTGACTATTTTGCTGTGCAATAAGTATTTTTGCTTAGGATTGGGAACTAATTTTTATACAAAATGATTTTGTTTTTTGATATCCAGTTAAATACTAGCCATAATAAAATAGGTATAGTACTGCACCATCTAGGAACACCTTATAACACAACCACAAAAAGTAACAACGCCATCTAACGACATACGTCTCAATTTTGGTTGTAGTCGGACAGTTCGTCCCAATGTTAGGGTACGACCACAGTGAACGCTAGTTCCGAATCAGGTTCAGTCTCAATTGTCAGTAGCGGTGGGCATTTAAACGAAAAGCGCTTAAATAAGCGCGCTTAAAATATTAAGCTTGTAAGCACGCTTTTAAGTATAAGCTTTATAAGCTTATCACTTAAAAAGTGTGAGTAAGCTTTTCACTTAAAAAAGTGCAAGTATATTTTTTACTTAAAAAGTGCAAATCCCGCCATCTATGTCTTTGCCAGGAAACTACATACTTCGATCCTTCTAGTCCACTACAGTATCGTAAAATGGGTACGCGGAATTCCTTGGTACTAAATATTTCACAATATCACAGACATAGAACGCGCGACTACAGCGCCGCGTCGGCGTGCCATCTTTCTTGAGCCGGTTAATACAGAATGCGAATTATTATAATGCGACGTAAAAAAATGCACTTTTTTAAAATTTGGTCGGATAACCAACGCTTTTTTCGTTAAAAGCGTTTAATTAAACGAAGTCGAAAAGCAGTACGCAAAGAGTACTTTTTATATGCAGTACGCTTGTCACTGTGACGGGGTAAGAGCGCGTGGGTGTTGTACGGTGTGTTTGCATGCTTGCTTGACGTGTTAATGCGTTTCGTGTATTGGTTTAATCTATATAAATAAAAATGAAACCCGTTTTCCGTTGTCACGACATAACATGAAAACGGCTTGACCGATTTGGCTGTTTTTTTTTTGTAGTTTTCTAATACTCTGTACAAGGTTCTTACGGAAAAAAATATATAGAAAATCCCAAGGGGATAAAATAAGGAATGAAAGTTTGTATGAAACTTTATCAATTTTAAACCGATCGGGCTGAGACTTTGCATGCAGGTATAAGAAGAATCATAGATGAATGTCATTGTGTATAATACAAGCCTGAGAACAAAAACTGTAGTCTACACTTCAGCTCTACACCGAAGCGAAGCGAGGGCGGGCCGCTAGTGTGCATATAAAACAGTTAAAAGTATGTATATAAAATCAATGAACTTTTAAGTACGCCTGGATCACGAGTATATTAACTCCAGACAGTCCTAAGCTTGTAAACTAAGAAGGAAAGTTCATTGACTATTATAAAAATGTTTATTATAAAATCTAAATTCAATTGAAAATCTTTCGTTTTTAATGTCAATCAATTCATTAGGTTTAAAAAAAAATTTTAATAAAAATTTCATTAATAAGAAGAAAAAACGCAATAAAACACTTAAACACATTAAAAACGACAGTAAACTTTTCACGCTTTTTTAAACGATATACCTAAACGAAAACACAACACAACGTCGCACTTTTTACACATGCTTTTAAACGTTTAAGCCAATAAGCGCTTAAACGAAACGACAATAAACTTTCACGCTTTTTTAAACGATATACCTAAACGAAAACACAACACAACGTCGCGCTTTTTACGCATGCTTTTAAACGTTTAAGCCAATAAGCGTTTAAACGAAAAAGCTTTTTTTCAAGCGCGCTTATTTTAAAAAGTACAACGTTTAAACGCTTTTAAGAAATAAGCCGTTTTTTCCATCTCTAATTGTCAGCTTGAGGAAAGCAGGTGATGGCCGCAGTGGAGGCAGATAGTATAAGACGCGGACGCGAGACGCGCGATCGTAACGAAAAGCTAATATTATTTTTTTAAACGCAATCATTTTATGGAATGATTGGGTATCTAAAAAGACATAAAGAAAAGAACCAGGGTGCACTGTGGCCGTACCCTTAGTGTGAAGCACAGACGTGTGGAGAATGTGTGGAGCGTATGGGTGCGGCCAGAGTGCACTCAGATTCAGACTCAGATTCAGATTTCGAAAACAAGCGCGAGAAATAAACAGTGTAGTCTAAGCAGGTTGCCTGCTTTTTCTCGCGCTTTGTTTTCTGAGTCTGTCTGTCTGAGTCTGAATCAGGAGTGCAATCTGGCCGTACCCTTCGACTACACTGTTTATTTCTCGCGCTTGATTTCGAAATCTGAATCTGAGTGCACTCTGGCCGCACCCATAGGGTGCGGCCAGAGTGCACTCAGATTCAGATTCAGATTCAGATTCAGATTCAGATTCAGATTCAGATTCAGATTCAGATTCAGATTCAGATTTCGAAAACAAACGCGAGAAATAAACAGTGTAGTCGAAGGGTACGGCCAGATTGCACTCCTGATTCAGACTCAGATTGCACTCCTGATTCAGATTCAGATTCAGACTCAGAAAACAAAGCGCGAGAAAAACCAGGCAACCTGCTTAGACTACACTGTTTATTTCTCGCGCTTGTTTTCAGAATCTGAATCTGACTCTGAATCTGAGTGCACTCTGGCCGCACCCTTAGGCCATGGGCCAATGACCAAAGAAGTAAGCGTGTAGCGTCTAAAAAAACATTTTTGCTTATTTTGTCATTGCGAAGGCAAAGGTAACGTTACTAATATGGTCTTTGTTAATCAATTATTCTTATTATTTTTGATTCTGATTCGAATGCGATTGACCCATTTGGTGAGTGTTGAAGAAGAATGAAGTTCCTTAGAGCGTTTCTCCCGAAATACATGAAATCAACTTTCCCTAGAAGCCCCTTGAAGTTTAGTCAACACTCAATATTTTTAGCAAGCACTGAACCAAATTAAAGTTCATTAAAATGATTTCACTAATTATTCACTTCTGCTTGTGCTGACAGAAATCAATGAAACTACCAAAAACTTATAAAAGTTATAAAAATAAATAATTAATTAAATAGAATCAGTGCTTTTTATTGGGGAACTGATTCCTGAACGAAGCTAAAAAAATATTACTGTTTACGTCAACTTGAAATTTTTGTGTAGACGAAATGTCAAAATGGGAGTAAAACCTGAAGAAAACAATGTGAAATTTTAATTGTTTTACAATTACAACAATACAAAAATGTGTGTTTTGAGCATATAATATCAGCGTCGAAATGTTTACCAAAAAATCCCATCAAGATGTCAAGAAATCTACTGTTAAGATACAGGATTCTAAAAAGGATTCTGCAACTCGATTAAAGCACCTTAAAATCGTTCTAGGTAATGTGTTTGCTTTTCTATAATAGGAATATATCTTAAATATTGAAATAGATTTAGTTCTCCTAATCTACGTCCTACAATTAAAATACTGACGCTTCTTTTCGCAGAACATGCTAATTAGCTGAGAATAACTGTAGTTGCGATAGTGTGACATGGTATTGGAGTATTTATTTCACAGTGTGATCATTTATAAGATAAACTTTATGTTTGTCGATATTCATATGTTATTCGGATTACATATTGAGTGTATGAGTCTATTCTAAAATATACTTTTTTTTCAGAGCATTTTGATGCTGAAGAAGCAAAAACGTATTTTGAAAACAACTTCAGTCATGTGTACTTTATACTGTATGACAATTTTATTCAAGCAGAAAACAACCTACGCCAAAGAGGTAAGATAACATAAATTTTCCTGTTATAGACATTATGTGTAGGTAAATACTCTGATTGTATTATAGTACTTATACAGCAATTTTCTCATATAATTTTGGATTCTAGAAAACATTTGATAAACATAAAAATGAAATTTAAAGACAATAAAATAACATATAGGTGATGTAAATAATGAAGTAGTTACTTAATATTTTCTTATAATGGAGCTGCCATGTCATCATGAAGCTCCTAAATACAAAAACAAAATGAAATTTTTGTGTGGCAGGGTTTAGGTCTATTTAACATATTTCTGAAATATGCCTGAAATAAATTTTAATATAATACAGTGCTTTGGTTCAGTTATTCATTTTAGGAAATGGACTGATAAATAAAATCTGAATAATGAATATTTTTTTAAAAAACCCATTAATTACTCTAGAGAAAACAAAGTTTTCTTTTCTTTGCTTAATGAGTCAATTAATTTACCTTAATAAAATGTATTATTTTGTTATACAGAACTTCCGTTTCATCTTGGTGAGTTATATGGGTTGTTTTATCGTATATCAACCATAATTCATCATCCTAAAACATTAGAATGATATACCTAGTACATTGTCATGTGATAGATGATGCTGCCTTATCATAGATTACCTGCTTATCACTAACACAAGATTTTATATCAATCACTGCACCTGTCATAGGTTTAACAAGTATATGTATGTGTCATGTTACATCACCGACTTGTATAAATTTAAATGTAGCGCAGAATGCATCCTACCAATGCAAGTACTCAAAGAAAAAAATCCATTTAAAAATCTCATACCGAAGTAAAATTTCCTAAAAACCTAAATTCCTTTAATAAAACTGCTCAATGAAAATCTTTCTTTGTTATAAATACTTACATTACTAAGCCAGTAAGCAAAACTTTTTTATTATGTGTGCTGTTTTATTGGAGAAGGCCTTTACAGTGTTTGGGCTATAGAGTTTGATTATTATTTTACGCTTTACGGTCATTAGTTTATCTTCATTGTCTGAATTCTGAAATAAGTATACAAATAATGATATGAAGATTCAATGTAACATATAGAATTTTGACCATTGCATTCATAGTGGAAGCAAAAAATTTTAGAGTATCCATTCTTTTCTCCATACAACTCTGCCCAATTTTGTACCTCAAGTATTTATTTGTATTTGATTAATATGCAGAATTCATCAAATATATAAATGGAAACACAACTAGAATCCTCATTTTTAGTTTAAAACATTGTTTTTGTACTTTATTCAATGATAAATAAAAATGTAAGATTTTTGTAAAAGGCTGTGGTACTTCTGCGTTTAAAAAACAACAGAAAGGAGTCAGTATGATATTGGGTATGGAACAGATACACAAAATTCAAAAAAATTGTTTATTCAGTAGTAATAGACTTAATTAAACATATGAAGCTTAATATTAACTTCCTATTTAAAGTCAGGATAAAATATGGGTGTCACATGAGGATATACAAAATTTCCATGGTATTTTGTCTACTTTAATACCAGCAGCATATTCAGAGTGTCAGTATGAAATAGAAATATAATATTAAATATGATATATTCATATTCGTTATGGACCGTAAGCTTAATATAATGTCTAAGTTGCATAAAAAATTGGTTTATTGAAGCAATTTATGAATGCTCTATGTCAAATTTCTGAAGACATTTTTACCTGAATTTTCAGACTAAAAATTATAAGAAATGATAAAAATATATTTTTATAAAACTAAATCAATATCAATAATTTGTACTTTATGTAGAGTTCATACAGTGAAGATATTTGTGTAATACATTCAAATTATGATTTAGAACCTGACTAGCAGTTCAAATACAGCCTAACAGATTACTTCTACCCTTTTAAAAGTTTTGTTACACTCTTAGTCTCAAGTCTCAAGACAACTCTCAAGATCATGAGTCCTCTGCTCACTCTTTGGCTCTATGTAACTTGTGATTTGCTTCATTAATGCATACTAACATAAATAATATTATTTTTCAAAATGAATGTCTAACAATATATTGAATTTCTTAGTACACAAGGCTGGCAGAGAAGAACTAGAAGGAGCATTATCTCTTCTCGAGAAAGTATTATGTCTTCTCCCCGAGTTGATAGGCAAGAGATGGCAACTTCATTCACTGACCAGAATATTTTCAAAGCTCCTCCATAGTTGGAATTCACAAAGACTTCGAGCAGAAGCTATAAGGTTTGAATGCTAAATATATCAGCTTAATAGGTATTATCATCTTATATTCAATTATTAATTATGCAACTTACAATCATATTTCAGATATTTCCTGTTATGGTATCAAGCTTTAGGAGACAATGCCCCTACAGAAGTGCATAGAATGTTTGCATCTCTGGTCCCAGGATTACCAGAACCTTTCATGCAACAAAGTGGTACACCATTAAAAAGTAAACCTTTTGAAATTGGAGCCAATGTTTCCCATGAATCTGGTGACTTTAGTATTGATGATATTATGCAACATCCTAATTTTACTACAGCCACTGACAATGCCAAGAAAGTCGTAGTAGAACAGACTCCAACAGGCATCATAGGAAAGATTGCAAATGTTTCAGCTTCAATATTTCATGATACAAATGCTCTAAATCCAGTACAAACTGTTGAGATACAACCACTACTACCAGCAAGTGCCAATGAGAGGCCAGTTGATAATGAAACTAAATATTTTTTTGAGATACTGCTTGATAGCATGGCAACATCAGTTACAAAAATCCACTGGAAAGATCGATCTCACACAAAGGCCATGAGATGTTTTGGTTTTTTATTAGAAAGATTTAAAATGTATTATTTACCCATTATATGTCCTCAGTTCAATCACAAAAACTCACTTTACAAACCGAATCTAGGTAAGTAACCTTGAAATGAACAAAAACAAATAGCACTAAAAGAAAGAAAATTTTTAACTCATATTTCTTTTTAACATATTACAGAACTCCCTGTTCAGCATAACATATTGGAGGATGACTTTGTTCTGTGTCGCGTTATACTGATAAAGTGGGTTGCCAGTTTCGCTCATTTCATGAAGAAGCAAGGTAGCGACGGTGGTCAACCATCTTCAATGACCAGTACAGGGTCACACGTGCATTCAGGCACTCCCACTCCAGCTACATCACTCCACCATGAGGAAGAAACATCGTTTACAGTCGGACACCCATCGGATTCTAGTCGTGCGTCATCGCATGACTCTGTATCTAACACTCCGCATCCCAGTTTGGATTCAGGTTAATAAAGTTTATAATACTGACCGTTTGACATAAAAAGAATAGAAATAATATGCAAGCACTACTCTCTAACAAAGGCTGCTAAAACATGGTTCCAAACGAAGTTCAATACTAATGTGACATGCACACAGACAAAATAAAATATTTATTAAAATAAATAAATCAATCACATCACGGCGTGTTGTTGGCAGTTTTGTCGTTTCGCTCACTTGATTGAAGTTTGCGTAGCGCAGTTCGTATTCCATATTATATCTAATTCATTGTTTGACATACAGTAAAAGCTATGACAGTAATCTTAATAAAATTAAACATCAATATTCAATATTACTTGTTCACTAATAAATTAAAAGGATAGTAAACAGTAAAAACCTTTGACTTTTATCTTTTCCAGGTTCTGTAATTTACGAGGAATTGAGCGCAGAATTGGTAGTACGTGACGTACTATGCTGCTCATCACGGGAACATGTAGACTTTACCATCGAAGTTCTGCGACAAGCATTTTTATTGCCGTTCTCGCATGCCGCCGCAGTGAGACGCGTCATCGCACTGTACAAAGACTGGATCCAGATGAACGTGAGTTGTAATACTTTATAGCAATACAGGGACAAAGAAAATAGGCAAAACTAACATACTCAAAATAAAAATATGTCTTATAAATACATATATAAATGAAATCAAGAGGTTTTTTTTGTCTTATTTAACATGTCAAGTATATAATTTACTGTAGATAATTAAAATAAAATAAGCTGAAATAGTATTCTTAAATATGTTTCTTTTAATCTCTAAAACCTTTAATATACTTTGTATCACTAGTTTTGAGTCTGCTAAAACGTATAAACCTGAAATAAAGCATTTTCTGAGAAATTTAACGACCTCGGAAGCAGCTCTTAAAACAATGTTTCAAAGAACTTTTTTTTTACGGAAGTATTGACAGAAAGATTCTCAGTGATTGATCTAGTCTTGAGCATAGTTAGAAAGGGATGTCGCTATATATAGCACATAGCGACATCCCTTTCTAACTGTACTCAAGTAAAGATCAATACTTAGTTGTCAGTCTGTAATACGGGCCTAAGTATTAATAGATCAGTATGCCATTGCACAATATGCGTGCGATTTATTAACTTGTCTTTCTTTTGTAGGTAGCAGAGATTCCGCCGTTCCTGATGGAGAGCGCATTCGAGCAACCAGGCGGCGAGCCGCTAGCGCCGCCTCGGCGACTACGTAACGACTCGTATCTCGGCGCCGTCGGCAGAGACAATCTAATGGTCCGTGCGGGGCTGCAGGTAAACAATTGAAGTTACATAAAGGATTAAGTAGCAGAGATTCCGCCGTTCCTGATGGAGAGTGCATTCGACCAACCAAGCGGCGAGCCGCTAGCGCCGCCTCGGCGACTACGTAACGACTCGTATCTCGGCGCCATCGGCAGAGACAATCTAATGGTCCGTGCGGGGCTGCAGGTAAACAAATGAAGTTACATAAGGGATTAAGTAGCAGAGATTCCGCCGTTCCTGATGGAGAGTGCATTCGACCAACCAGGCGGCGAGCCGCTAGCGCCGCCTCGGCGACTACGTAACGACTCTTATCCCGGCGCCGTCAGCAGAGACAATCTAATGGTCCGAGCGGGGCTGCAGGTAAACAAATGAAGTTACATAAGGGATTGAGTAGCAGAGATTCCGCCGTTCCTGTTGGAGAGCGCATTACTTGGCCACTATTCCTACATGAACAAAGAAATTTGGTGACTCATTTCTTTGTCGTACTATTCGTAAGTGGAATTCTTTGCCCGGCACGTATTCCCTCCTTCCTACAATGTGGGGTCCTTTAAGAGAGGCGTGAAATTTTTTGCAGGCCGGCAAAGTGAGGATGGTTGCGTTTGGACTTTATCACCACTTAACATCAGGTGGGATAGAGTCATTTGCCTACCTCGCATTCGCCTATAAAAATCGAGCAACCGCTTATACTCGTATGCCGTCGACAGAGACAATCTGATGGTCGGTCGTTGGTCGTGCGGGATTACAGGTAAACAGATCAAAAAGATTATCTAAGGGATTGAATAGCAGATATCCCATCCCGATGGAAAGCACATTCGAGCAACCAAATGGAGAGCTTCTACAGAAGTCTCAGTTATTTCGATGTCTCAGTTGCTTCCATTCAGTGATACAAAACGTTAATAGCTTATCTATTAAACTTTCATGTTACATTTATAATAAATATTTATCTTTAATAATAAAATGCGCGCATGGTAAACCCATCAAATCTCTAATATATAAAATTCTCGTGTCACGATGTGCGTAATTGAACTACGCGGAAACGGCTAACCGATTTTCGTGAAATTTTATATGCATATTCAGTAGGTCTGAGAATCGGACAACATCTATTTTTCATCCCCTTAAATGTTAAGGGTGGTCCACTCCACCCTAATTTTTTTTTTGTTTGGACAAAATTTTTTGTTTTTATTTTTTTATTATACAAAAATACATACAACCCTAAATTTTCACCCTTCTACCACCAACCCCTTTTTTTTATGGCGGTACGAAGTTCGCTGGGACTGCTAGTAGGTATTATAAATATAGACAATCCTAATATCTGTGGACTTCACGTACACTTTGTAATAGGTGAATTTTTCTCAGACCTTATTACAGTACAGAACTCTTTTCAGAATGTACTCCAAGTTTTCATGACTCAAGCGGCAAACGTTTTCCTAGCATCGCCTTCGCCCGTGGCGCCCCCTGGAGCTCTAAGCCAGCAACAATTGCTTGACGAACAAACGGACACTTGTAAACGCGTACTCAACATATACAGATACATGGTGATGCATGTAGCTATGGACGGCGCGTCATGGTGAGTTGCTTCGAGTAATATTTGTATTTGAATTTTCAAAGTATTCAAGAGCTTGACAGATAATCAAATATGTGGTACATATAAAAAGCTATGAAACATCAAATTGAAAATTGTAGTCCGTCTCTAAGTTCATTATAAATTAACATAAGGAAAAATGCAACTATTTTCTGAATTGGTTATTGTAATTGGCCTTAACAAATAACCCATAGGTCTGATTTTGGCATGATTCTCTAAAGCAGCCCTTGCAGAGTTTCTTGCCGGTTCTTCTCAGTACAAGATCTTCCGCGTTGATTTGTGAACCGAAGGCATAGTTTCCGACTTTCACATGTCAAGAACGTGTGAAAGTCGAAAGCTAAGCCATCGGTTAAAAGCCTAAACTGAAGAAAATGAAGATTGAATTGAATTAAACTTAAAACTGTTTTAAAAGCAGTCCCTCCTTTTCATTCACTATAGAGTACAATAAAGGTATGCTATTTTCACAATAATATATTTAAATAATAAAAAAAATTATTACACAGGGAACAATTGCTTTTGGTGCTGCTACAAATAACGTCTTTGGTATTAACAAAAATACCACCAAAAAGAAAACAAGAATCATTAGGTAAGTATTCTAGAATATATTGTTAAATATATACATATCATTGTTTTATGACTCAAAATTTTAAATCGCCTTTTTAGGTGGATTCCTGGCACCAGCTTTATTTCAAACGTTAATAGTCACTTGGATAAAAGCAAATCTAAATGTCGCAGTGAAACCAGAGCTGTGGCAGAATTTTATGGAGTTACTGTCGCGACTCACCCACTGGGAAGACCTCATAAAAGAATGGGCGGTATGATATATTTTTTCTATATAACTCGTGTCAAAAAAATAAGGAATCGAAAATGCCGACGCAAGACATTCTATCTTTCCCGTACGTTATTTAGGATAGCATGTGCGAGAGGGACAGAATTTCTTACGTCATAACTTATCGTCGTTGATTCCTTTCTTTAATCATCTAAATCTAAGAAGACGACGCAGGTGGTACTACAAATTGTCTGAAAACCAAGCGTTTCATATTTTGAGTACTCACGATAATAAAAAAAGGTTGCAAATACAAAGCTGCGCTCTAACGTTTATTTCAATACTATCGTTTTCATAGATTAATATGGCACAATTAACTTTTTTTTTTTTTCAATGTATACATTAAATATCGCCATAGGAAGAGCTTTGCTCTCCGTTTTGGCACGAAAAGATTCACTAGCGTTATCTATTTCAATTCATTAGATGTCTGTGCTTCCGCTGTATTACTTATAATATTTAAGTTGTTTGCATAAATATTATTAGCAGTTAAGAGTTTGATGATTCTACGCCTATCTATTTATTTTCTTCGTATATTTCCCGTGCAGAAAACAATGGAGACTCTCACGCGGGTGCTAGCTAGGCACGTCTATTCTCTAGACCTGACGGAAACTACCGCCTCCACTGACGGTAGAGGGCGCGGCCGGCGCACCACCCCCGCCCCCGCGCCCGCCCCGCACCCGCGCCCTCCCCTCCACCAGACTACGGGGCCGACAGTGACAGATGCGAGGACACCGGGTGGGTATATATCCTAGGTGCATCATATATGGTTCTGTTAGAAACTACCGCCTCCACTGACGGTAAAGGGCGCGGCTGACGCACCAACCCCGCCCCCGCGCCCGCCCCACACCCGCGCCCTCCCCTCCACCAGACTAGGGGCCGACAGTGTCAGATGCGAGGACACCGGGTGGGTATATATCCTAGGTGCATCATATATGGTTCTGTTAGAAACTACCGCCTCCACTGACGGTAGAGGGCGCGGCCGGCGCACCAACCCCGCCCCCGCGCCCGCCCCGCACCCGCGCCCTCCCCTCCACCAGACTACGGGGCCGACAGTGACAGATGCGAGGACACCGGGTGGGTATATATCCTAGGTGCATCATATATGGTTCTGTTAGAAACTACCGCCTCCACTGACGGTAGAGGGCGCGGCCGACGCACCAACCCCGCCCCCGCGCCCGCCCCACACCCGCGCCCTCCCCTCCACCAGACTAGGGGCCGACAGTGTCAGATGCGAGGACACCGGGTGGGTATATATCCTAGGTGCATCATATATGGTTCTGTTAGAAACTACCGCCTCCACTGACGGTAGAGGGCGCGGCCGGCGCACCAACCCCGCCCCCGCGGCCGCCCCGCACCCGCGCCCTCCCCTCCACCAGACTACGGTGCCGACAGTGTCCGATGCGAGGACACCGGGTGGGTATATATCCTAGGTGCATCATATATGGTTCTGTTAGAAACTACCGCCTCCACTGACGGTACTCTAATGTATCAACATGCATGGCACCAACTCCAAATGTAAAATGTACTAATAATTATAAGTGAAGAATTGTATTATTTATATTTTTTTGTGGTTTTGTTTTAATGTAGTGAGTTTTCTTTTTAAAAAATATAAAAAAATGAGCCTTACTGTAGTCGCGTATGATGTGTAACATTTGAAACCTCACCTTATATTAGTAAATAAAGAAATCAAACCTACTACAAAAGGAATAAGCCATTTGAACATTGTTATAAAATCAAATCAAATAGCGCGCGCTTTCGCGACTTCCTGTTACAACTACACGTTACACGAAATCACTCCCACAAATTGCAGAAAAGCGAGAGGAAAGATGTTACACATCATAACCAAGGTTTACCATAAATTGTAACATATACTATATTATAAGATATATACCTCACATAATATATTTTTACATCTATTTATTCAGGAAAATCCCCCAAAACCGGCCATGAGCCGCACACGCGAAAAGATGCTGGAGGTTCTCGCAGACAGATGGCTAGGTGTCGCAGCGAACCACATCTCGCCAAAGATACGCAAATAGGCAAGTATTAAGTAGGTCAAGTGAGCCAGAAATAAATACAAAAAATTGAGAATTGACTTATTTTTATTTTCCAAACAGAAGAAACCAAAGAAGCTGTCGTATGCAGAAAACCTAAAAGGTGGTACTCGCTCGATTCACTAAGACAATCTGCACAACACGAAGAACGAGATTCTGCAAGCGGTATGAGAAATTATAAATATATATATATATATATATATTTAACTTTATTATAAGGATTGCTGTAAAATTTTTATATTCTGTGAATTTCGTTTATTTAGGATCCCGGTCTCCATCGCCGGCGCCCTCTAGCGGCGTCGAAAGTAGTTCTATTAAGGATTCCCCCCTACAAATCGATTTAGCCTCAGACGGTGGCAATGTTGGTACGTATTTAGCATGTCTTACATCTCCAATGATACAAAACGATTTTATTTTTTCATTATAATCACGCATTTCTTAAACAAGAAACTTACTAATTCCGAATAACGATAAATTTCTTTATATTAATACTTCAGTATAAATAAAATATAAACATTATCAGTACAACTCTTTGGTTTTTTAACAGTCGGACACATCGTGGCAAAGGAGTTTATCAAACAGTTCTACTCTTAATACTGAATGCATTTAAAACATAGCCCATCTCATTATGCGATAGTTGTATAAATTGCTATTTATTTCATCTCATTAGAATGGTCGGAAAGCGAATCTGGCCTTGGTGGGATTGGGGCGGGGGAGGGCGGGCGAGGCGCGGGGGCGGCGGGCGTAGGAGTAGTTTTGGGCGGCACCGCTCGGGGGTGGTTACCCGACGTGGCGGCCGTACTGTGGCGACGCATGCTGGCCGCGCTCGGAGATCCCAACCTATTACGCGAGCCCCACGCCCACGCACATCTATATAACTACCTCATACACCTCAACTCCACGCTCCTCAAGGTGAGTCCACTGAATGCTGCTCGACGTGGCGGCCGCGTTATAGCGACGCGTGCTGGCCGTACTTGGAGATCCCAACCTAATGCGCGAGCATGCCCACGCGCAGCTATAAAACTACTTGATGATACAGCTCAACTCCACGCTCCTCAAGGTGAGTCCACTGACTGCTGCCCGGCGTGACGGCCGCACTGTGGCGACGCATTCTAGCCGCGCTCGGAGATCCCACGAGTGAGTATTCTCCATCTCCTAGATATCATCCCTAATAAACATTTACATTTTTTTTTGTGTATAATAAAAGTCGTGAAAATCGAATAGCCGGCCGCACTGACACTGTCTTTTAAAACTTTCACAAAACTTCGTTCAATGAAATATAATATTCGTAATTAGTACCTAAACATACTAAGTGAGGATCGGAGAAACGTAGGTTAAATTAAATGACTGCAGTTTCTCTACAAGTGGACTGCGTTTGTTAATATTCTCTACCACCTTGATCATTCTTAATTTTGTTAAATATAAGAATAACTAACAAAGAATATTATATAAATTTTATGCACTTGAAATTTTCATTTTTCATCATATACGGTGGCGGTTAGAAAATGTTTACCAGTTTTGAAATTAGATTCCATATCACACTTTTTTCAATAAAGTCTAAAATGCCATATCAAGTAACTAATATTACCTTTCAAAAGTTATTATGCAAAATGACGTATCGAGAATAACAAAAAGAAGTAGATATTACTTTTTGATATTGAAACTCATTTATTTATTTGTTGAAATGACATTTACAAAAAAATAATTGTTTGAACATTGTTTGGAAAAGAGCAAAATTTTACGAAAAAAAATTCATAACGAAATAAAATGGCAAGTTTGACCCACGGACCTAAAAAAAAGACGGAACCTCGTCTAATCACGAATGAAGCATGCAAATGGCCGCCCGTTTACTGTGTGTGCGTGATTTGAGGATTGTCATATAAGTCATCAATTTCCCTATTTTTTAAATGTCTCAAACTAAAATATTGTTAATACTATGTAGGTAATAATATCCCGTTATTGTAATAAATACATATTACAATAACGGAATATTTACCATGTTTTTATTAGATGTGAGCTCCCGATATTTCAGCAATTTAAACGGGTGCACTTTAGAAACATAATGTGGGCCTATCAAACATCATTTTTATGACGACCGTTAGAAAAATGAAAACATTTGCTACGTATAAAGAAATTTCGGCTGTTGATTGTTTTCTATTCCTCTAATATTTGTCGACATCTTAAAAAAAAGTAAATAACGATATTAAATGTTGCATTAAAATTCAATAGTTAAGTATCTTGTTCATAAAATTCTCAATACCTGCGGTATAGGTGGAGAAGTGCTTTGTGTTTGTGTTTCTGGAGAGTGAAAGTAACTGCAAGTAATAAGATAAATAAGACTGAAAGCCGCCAAAGAACAATAAATTATAAACAAATGGTACAAATACAGTATCTCAATTTTACCCTTTTTGGAATGGCGTACGGAACCAAACAACGTAGCCTCTTAGCTGTATTTTTAAAATCTAAATCATCAAAATGTGCACGGCACACAGTACTGGCAGGTGATGGGTTCCAATTGTTATCGCCTCTGCAGTATCGAATAATTAAAACCCAGTCATTTCTACGTTTTCTATTTCTAGGAAACCTATTAGAAAGGAGGCAAAACAATAATTTATATAGAAAGAAGATAGAAAGAAATTTTATTGACCTTGAAACACATATACAAAAACAGAACACAGAAAGACAGGCCAACTAGGTCCCTGCCTCAGCTTAATACTACAGCAACATCAGGGCTGCTGCAGCGGTCGACAATTCTGGCAGGGTTGACGAGACTTTTTTAATTTAATAATAAAACAAGATCAGAACCATACCAATCAACAAGACAAAAAAAAAATAACAACATAGGCTGAATGCTTTTAGTATCTTAAGCCTTAAAACAAGAGAATAATTAGTTACAATCAGTTGCTAAACACAAAAAAGTTTGCTACATATTTACATACTTATATATAAACAACAAAGAATTCACAGCGAGAATATACCATTTTATAAAACATATAAAATATTCTATGAATAATATGGCTTCTATTCTTTTCCTTTTGGGATACGGAACCCTAAAAAGTTACGAAATCTGACCTTACCGAGTCACAAATGCAAGAAATACAAAATTCCCTACTTTTAGGGAAAATTTCCCGTAAATAAAGTAGTCATACAGTTGTATTTTTGTTTACAGTTTTCATTCCAGTAAATAAAATATAATATGGAAGAAATATCAAGAATTGTCAATACTCACTTGTGTAGTACTCGTGTAGTTTTTACAGGATTTCACCACACAAGACAGCATTTTTAATTATTTTTATCAGAGCAATTGAATGTGTGACTGCCGCTGTCACGCGGTGTCAAATGGCAGGCAGCGGTTTGTACGACCTGGTGCATTAGTGTGAGTGTAGGTAGTGTAGAACAAACGATTTTGTCTGACCTTGCATGCTTCACATGATTTGCCTTTGATGTTACGTCCGTCTTTTTTTAGGTCCGTGGTTTGACCCTGGAGCAAAGGGCTGAAATAATATTTCTCTTCGAAGATGGACATAGTATTAGTGCTATATCACGAGATCTTAATATACCGCGATTCACTGTGAGGTTTTGGATTGCGTCACGGCGAAGAAGGGCAATTAACAGATCATAGAAATAATTCAGGACGACGACCAATACTAACTGCCGCGCAAATAACAGAAATGATTCGTCGTTACAAAGAGAACGGTTTCACACCAACTAGTTATTTTGCTGCTTTATATGATGTGAGTGCTCGAACGATCCGACGAGCTTTGCACAGAGCTGGACTACACTACAGACACCATGCTATTAAAGTGGAGCTGAAAGCTCACCACAAAACAGCCCGGCTTAACTTAGCGGACAACATCTCATTTTGATTGGTCGAATACTATATTTACCGATGAGAAAACCTTTAAATCAAGCCAAATCTGAAGATTAACTTTATGGCGCTATAATCATACTCGGTATGATGAAGCTCATATCGTTCCTCAAAACGAGTCAGGTCGCATATAAGTAAACTTATGGGGGTGGATTAGCTTCGACGGCGTCGGAGAACTGGCGTCGTTAGAGAATAGGGCTACTGCCATTATTTATGTGTCGCTTTTGGCAGAAATGATGCTGCCTACTGTGCGCGTAGTGTATCCTGCAACAGAATTCCCGTACATTGCTTATGTTCAAGATAACGCACGAATACACACGGCCCGTGCTACTATGGCGTGGTTCAACCTGCGCCGTGACATTCGTCCCATTCAATGGCCCGTTCGGTCTGCTGATTTAAAGCCTATTGAAAATTTATAGGGGCTGCTAACGCTGGGACTGTCAAAATGAAAGGAACCCTCATGATCTTAGATCACACTGTGCTCGAGTATGGGATGATATTAGAAGGACCGATCTATGCGCGCGTCTTGTTGCATCTATACGAGATAGACTACGTGCCTTCATAGCTGCAGAGGGAGGTTATACTAGATATTAAAAATAACGATATTTGAAGTTTCTATTTTATTAATTTAAAAAAAACTATTCGTTTTTTCAATTGTTCTCTATATTTGTTTGCCATCACGGCTAGTGCAGAGGTCGTCGCCTACTGTGCAACGGGTTGCGGGTTCGATTCCCGTACGGCACCGATATTTTGTATGGCCTACAGATAATTTGTCCTGATCTGGCCGTATGTGCAATGTGCATGTGATATTATATGTTTGTAATTACACCCACGATACAGAAGAAAATCCTAGTGTGAGGCGAAGTGTTTAAAAATATATATATATATATATTTAGCCTTGATAGTAGTCCGTACATCTCCTAGAGCGATTGATTGTCATATCATAAGAAAAAATATAATCTATGGTTAATCAAATTATTATGAAAAGACATTTAGAACTTGTGACCGAAATGTGTGCATGCAATTATGATCCTTAAGGTGGTAAACATTTTCTGACCGCGACCATACATTAGATCGATCATTTGAAATATTTCATTTATTATAAATATATCAATTAAACAATTTTTGAATGGAGTAACAGAGTCGGGTTCTGGGAAATGAGTAACTAATATTATAAATCTAGAGCAGCTGTTCTACCTACGTGTGACTAGATAAACATTGAAACATTTTAACACCATCGCTATCAATAAACAGATACGTAATGGAGTCATCTCGCGTCCAATCGATAGGTGGGCATCTGTTAATTTTTATCTCAAATATGCCTCGATGAAGTTATTTATCACACACTATCTAGAGAATAGTATATGAAGGCATATTAAATTTCAAAATATTATCAGTTCAATTATCCATTCGATTATGTGTTCTGTTGTTATAAAAGGGTGGAATTCTATTGTTTATTTTGTTATTTATTTGCTGTTTTCGTAGACGTCCGTATAGTTTATCGGGAACAGACCAGAAAAATAGCTAACAGACAGTGCGTGTTTTATATTTGTGTGGTGTTATTGCGTCTTTGCGAGCTGCTTTCTAACTCGAAGGTATTCAAAGACTGCTCATGCGAAAGAAGAGCAGGAAAAAGGAGGCTCCTAAGGAGACTCCGAAAGGTAATTTGTGTGCAACTGTATGAAATTAATAAATGTATTCTTTTTTCTCAAATCTGTCCTCCTGGTAATACTGTGGATTTTACTTACAATTGAAATCGTATTTTTTAATGCAACCTCAAGTTAATTGTGACAAGAGAATATCACATTCATTCTCATTAGGTTTATTGAATAATAATGTTTATAATGCACTTATGAATTACAATATTTACTAGTTTAATTTGGTACCAATGAAACATAAAGCGACATTTCATTATCACTCCTTTAAAAGTAACAGTCTTGAAAGATTTTTTTCTGACAAGTATAGTCGCCAACTACCAATTACCTGTAACTTCTTATACTAGAAATTGTTTGCAAAGATAAATTAAATATTATATTTATTTCTCAATAAAATGTTGATTGTCCTAAACTAGAAGTAAATAATGAAGCATATAATATGTAATTAATTAGGGGGTAGCCGAAAAATAAATTTGACGTCAAATTGACCATTACTTCATAAACTATTTGTAATAATGTCGTATGTATCTCCGTCAATATTTACATTTAGTTTAAAAAGTTCTTGGAGTGAGCCAAATTTATCTAATCATAAAAAGGTGAGTGAGTTACGTTATTTTGAATTCAGATATAAGTGTTGGTCGTTTAGGAAAGAGCAGGAAAAAACCCATATACATACAAAAGAAATAACCTCAAATCCTTAATCTTAAAAAATCTAAATAAATATCACATTTTGATTAAGTGTTACTAAATTATAATAGATAATGTATTTTTCAACAGTAACTTGTGCAAAAGCAAAATATAAATACAAAATATAGCATCTAATGAACACGAGTTCAAAATGCCTAATGCTATTCTTTTATAATGGTAACGTAGTGAGGAGTAAGTCTTTTCTATTCAAAACATACAAACATTCTTTACAGATAAGCACAAATCAAACTCTAAATGGGAACACAGAGATTCATGTGCCGTTCAATTTGTTCGCTGGATGGTGCCTGGAGGCGGAATCTTTGCCGCCCTCTCACAGGTACGTGTCTTTTTGGTTTATTACAGGTCCCGGCAAACTTCTTGAGCAAAACAAATAAATTTGCGCCGTACACGTTATTGTATGTTAAATTGCTTCTGCGCAGGTTTGCCGGGATGTTTACCTCTTCGTTTATTAAATTGTTTATCTCACTATCATAAGATTTAACAAAGATCAGTCGCACTATAAATAGGTTTAATTAGACTTCGAAGAAGACTTATCCTTCTTTTTACTAATATTACAGATGTAAAAGTTTGTATGTTTGTTACTCAATCACGCAAAAGCTACTGAACGGATTTGGATTAAATTTGGTACGCATATAGTTTATGACTTGAATACTTTTTATCTATATTAGGTTAATCATAATCATAATCAAAATCATTTATTCAGTTTAGGCTGCTACAAGCACATATGAATGTCTAGAAGCTACGCCATCGGTTCGTAAATCTACGGCGGGAGACCTTGTACTGAGAAGAACCGGCAAGAAACTCAGCAAGGGCTGTTTTTTTCTCCCTGTTTTATCATTTACAGAGTCGTCAAGTTGAAAAATGACTTCAGAGATGATTCATGAAGTCACCCTTCATTACATAATATGGAATTATACATGAATTGTACACCTGCATTTTGATTGCTGTGTCACATAGTATAAATACAAACAGAGTTATTTATAATAGGTGTAATTAAACATTTACATCTTAAATATCAAAGTAGTTAGGGCAGACTCATCTCCGCTGGCAGCATCCGTTCACGAGCATGACGCATGAACCAGCCATCGCTTCGCTCAACCATATTTTAGGGAACATAACGCCTCCCCGCCTCACACGACACCACCGAAGAGAGTTTTAAGAGAGCATGACTACCCATAACCACCTATATCAACTACAACATATTTACTTAAACTCACTTATCTGTAGGACACTGCAAACAATTACAAAGCAAAAACAATGGAGAAATCATGACCACGCCGTTTTGTCATTCAAATCTTCTTAAATAGTCTGATATTCTTCCTTACGTAATCAGCTTTAAATACAGCTTTTCAATAGAAGTATCATCAACACATGATTCATAATATATATCATATAGAAATACCCGTTGGAATGGTTGGAACAGTTCAAACCTAAGCATTTTTGTCTGTAATATAATCAGACACTTTATAATAAGCATTCTTAATAAGAGTTTTTTTAATAGTCGATTTAAATTTAGTCAGGCTCAACTCTTGAATATTGCTTGGGACTTTATTGTAAAAGCGAACACAGAGGCCTCTAAACGAATTATTAATTTTGTGGAGCCTAGTAGTTAACTTATTTTTACTTCTAGTATTAACGTTAAACCAGTGGACTACCTTAGAAATAGACTTGTTCACGTCGTCAATTTGCGACTGCCTACGTTTAATTTTAAACAAAAGTGAAGTGTCATCCGCAAACAATACTATTTCATGGTTATCCTTTACAAAATAAGGCAAATCATTGATATAAATTAAAAATGAGAAAGGACCAAGGATTGAGCCCTGCGGAACTCCCATCTTAACCGACGAACCAGGAGATTTTTCTCCATTGATGTCAACCCTGAACCCTATCGGTCAAATATGATACAATAAGATCCAGAGTGGTATCTCTAAATCCATAGTGCTGTAGTTTCCTGATCAATGTTTCATGAAAAACGCAATCGAATGCCTTTGATAAGTCGCAAAACACACCAAGTGCATCATGCGAGTTCTCCCAGGCATCAAAAATTTGCTGTACAAGCTCAACACCGGCATCGGTTGTTGAGCGACCCCTTGTGAAACCAAATTGTTTACTATGCAGAAAGTTATTACTATAAAAATATGATTGCATTTTATCTAGCATAATCTTTTCAAAAATCTTACTAAAGGTGGGTAGCACGGATATGGGTCTAAAATTTGTGGGGTCAGATGTGCTACCCGATTTATGCAATGGAGTTATTTTACTATGTTTCATTAGATCAGGAAAAACACCACAGTCAACACATTGATTAAAAATGCTAGCCAGAATAGGAGCTATTGTCTCAATTACTGATCTACTAACATCCACGGAGTTACCCCACAGATCCGCGGTTTTCTTTTTATTCAATTGGTTAAAATATTTGATTATGTCTTTAGAGTTAACATATTTAAATTTAAATTGACTAGTACCTTGTTTTATGTTTTCTTTTAATATTGATTCAGCAGAAATGGGGGAGGAGTCCAAGGATTTTGTAGTTGAAACTGGAATATCAGTGAAAAAATTCTCAAATGCTGTAGCAACTTCAGTATCTGATGTAACATTTCTATTTTCAATGTTTAAATTAAAACTGGTATTTCGAGATTTAGATTTTCCAGTTTCATTGTTTATAATGTTCCATGTCATTTTAATTTTGTCATTACTATTCTTAATCTTACAACTTAAATAATTTGATTTAGCTGTGCGACATACCTTTTTAAATAACTTAGAATAATTACGTACATACTGTCTGAATCTTTCAGTAGTATTAATGCTGCGTTCATTGTATAGTTCATAAAGTTTTCTTCTACTGTTATTTTATTTATTTAAACTTTATTGCCAAACATAAGCAAACGGCGGACTTAATGCCATAGGCATTCTCTCTGTTATGTATGCCTCTTGGCTGTTGTTATGTATGCCTGGGGTGGCCCACTCACTGAAGGTTACTGTATCACTAACACATATGGTTTTGGGAACGAAGACGTCATTAAATTCTTTACAAAAAATATTTAAAAAAGCATTATACAACTCATGTTTCATGTGGGATTCTCAAAAATCATAAAAAGCGGACAAAGTCGCGAGTAACCGCTAGTTTATAATAGATGTATATTTGTATTACGATTTTACATTAATTGTTGTTTGTCTAGCTTAGCATTTTCGCTTTTTAATCTTTTCGTCTACGAAACCATATTTTCGTAACAAGTTTCGATGGAGGAATTATTCTTCTTTGTACGAAACGGCGTTGATGTATCATGGTTACGTACAAGGAATTTGTTATTAAGGTTTCTTATTTACATGGATTAAAATTCTTTATACGAAGAAAATAATTTTAGTGAGTTTTCCTTCAGACGAAGAATGAGACTTCCCACAGGAAGAATAATTCCTTCAGCGATACTAGTTACGTACAAGGAATAATAATTGCTGCATCGATACCAGTTATGAAACTACGGTTTCGTAAACGGCCGAAGGGTTGCGTCCATTTAAGTGTCAGAATCATCAAACAACATAATTATTTTTTTTTTTATTATCGCTTAACATATCGAGTGTCGTTTCTACTAAGCTAACGTAATAATTGACACAGTTCTTGCACCTAAAACACTATTAGGACTGTAAGAACGTTACCGCGACGCTCATACAGAGAGTCCACTCAGAACAAAACCTAATTTCTGTCACTCAATTGACGTTACGTTTACAGATATTCTGACGCAGTTTCAAACTGAATTTATTAGCCATGTTATCTAAATCAATAGCGGTTATAATTTCAAGGGTGGTGGGAGCCGTCCATCTGGTTTGATAAGAAATAGTGCTTTGATATGAAATATAATAATATGTTTCGTTTATTTTTTGTTATATGAATCAGGGCCGGCAAGTTACTCGCGCTGCGTCTGCTTTGCGAGTCGACGCAGGCGCAAGGCGCGGGAGCGCCGTCCTCATGCAACAATCGGTTGCATCTAGCGCATCTCAACTTATACCAACGCGCTTTGCATCACGGTATGAAGATCTCAAATGTCTTTAATTATAATGTATCTTCAGTATATCATCATCATCAGCCTTTTAATGTCCCCACTGCTAGAGCACAGGCCTTCAGGAAAAGGGAGATTGGGCCGTGACACTACGCGGGCCCAGTGCGGGCCCAGTGCGGTGGGTGCTATTTATTGCAGATGCAGCCGGGACCAACGGCTTAAAGTGCTTTCCGATGCACAGCGCAGCTCGAGATAGTAAATTTTGGTCACCCATCCAATGACCGACCACTACGAAAGTTGCTTAACTACAAAGATCGCAGCCGGACTCGCTAACCACTTGCACCATCGAGCTCTTCAATATATACCCCTAAATAAATATGATAATTGAAGTAAGTTAATGTTTTTTTGTTAAAAAAAATCTGTAGGTATAAAATTATAGCAGTTTCATTCCTAATAAATTAAAATGTAATTATAATTGTTTCTGTCAACACTATGACGGCCGCATTCATGAATTGGTGAAATGGCAAGCTTAATGAGGCTCTAGGTCAAAATAATAACTGCGACTATGTTACGTTTATGGGCATAATTAAGGTGTGTTTATGCCCTTAATATGTGTTTATGTTTGTTTAGTTAAGCATACTTTATAACTGTGGGTTAGTTCGGTAACAGTATGTCTCTAGATGGCGCCTAGTCATAAAATAATAAAAGTTGTAGTACGGAGTTTTTAAGCAATTTTTTGTTTTAGAGGAACTTTTCCTTTTGTATAAACATTCTCGTCATTTTCTATAGGTTTAACCGGAGAAGATCGGTCAGTTGTAGACGTGCTAGTAGAGTATGCGGCGCCACGTTACCTGTCGCTCGCTCTCGATGGTTATTCGCTACTATTACTCGACTTCGTACACGCATCTACGGTCGTACTCAATTCTTCAGACATGGGTGCTTCGGTAAGTATAGAGAAAAACTAAAGACGGACTCATATTTACGTTTTTTAATATAAGGTGCATTAAGACATCGCTATATATGTATGTATACATATATATATATATATATAAAGCTCAGCACGATACCGCGCACCTTACATTTACATACTATATATGTTTTGTAATTTGGTAAGTGTGTTGTAGTGGCTCTTGAATAAAATTGTTATCTATCTATACTGTATTGTATGGGCTTACTATACGCGCTATGCTCTAGAGCGCAAAAGTGTAGTGTTAAGCGTAGTGTAAACGCACCTATATTGTTTTATAATGGTTACTAACACTATAGTAATGCGGGTGTTTAGGAAAATTTGCGTCACCAGTTAATTCCACTGTGACATGAGATCTTTTGTATGAAGTTTTTGGCGCGTACTAATCGAAGGCGCATTTAAATTGATCCATCGACCGACTAATAGTTAGACTACGACGATATATGTGATTTGACGGAAGAGTAGACCTTTCTTATCAGTGCTGCTACCTAGCGCCCGTCATTGCATTAGCGGAATTGCTACCACTCATTACATGAGTTTAATAGACATTTGCATATAAGTTCTCTATTGACTGTAACATAAAGTTCAATTTGCAGTGTCCTCGTACGGCGGCTGTGACATTTTTGGGATCACTGCTGTCGCTCCCTGACGGGCTTATGAACGCTCCAATGCTTCAACCTTATCCACATCAATACAACACCGTCTCTTGTCCGGATCTAAAGGTAATCAATTTGAATGAAGTTAAATATTAGGTTGCTTAGGCCCACTTCTAGTAAATTTGATACAGCTTGACGAAACTAAAACTAGTTTTAACTCATAGAAAAATGTCAAAACGTCAATTTGACATTATTGTATGGGCTTGTTTTAGTTAAATTGAGATTTAGCAAATTTCCTGCAAATGGACCTAATTGTTTTACAACTTTTCTTTTAACATATTCTGAATTTTAATTTTCTATTTTACAGCTCATATAATAAAGTCATGCCGTAAATATGAAAAACTGATAACTTTTTATGTATGTATGTATTTTTTTTTCAAAGGAATGAATTATTATCAATACCTCAAATCATGACAGTGGATACATGGCAAAGCATGGCTTATCGAAATCCAATAGCTGACTCATAACTTAGCACCAGATTTGATAAAGTTTGGGCCCAAGATGTATCCTAATTAACAATAGAACTACTTTCTAAAATTACTTTGTTCTAGGAAAATGCATACCAAAATGAATCAAATATCAACATTTGATGAATGATAATAATTAAGTTTGATTTTACGACTGGCCAACCTGTTTATACTGTAACCCTTAGCAGTAACTAATATCAAAATCAAATAGATGGATCTCGATACGCGATAAATGTCAAGAAGATTTGTATGGAAATATCAACAACGCCACAACGGACGTAACGAGAATTAACACTGTTCCATACAAAACTTCCTGACATTTGACGCGCATCGAGGTCGGTCTATTTGATTTTGATATTAGTTCTTGCTTAGAGTTACAGTATATTAAAATTTTATTGTATTCGAATAGGGTATTTGACAAGTTTTAGAAAACGATCTCACGTTATTTACTAATGTTTACGTAGTCCATAAAGAGATATTCATAATTTTGTTGAGTATTTCAATAAAAAAACCTAAAACAAAAATTCCATTTTCAAGTTGCCGCGAAAACGTTTCTGTGGACATTATGGCGTCTCACTAGAACGGCACACGACTGTCATTAAAACGTCAAACAATACAATGTAATGTCTCTAGCGTGTGACGTCATTTCAGTGTGTGACGTCTTTACCAATCCCAGGCGTTTGCGGTCACGTGACCATAGAACAATAAAATCATTTCTATTTAATGATATTTAAGATAAGTTATTAATTATTTGTTCTCTCAGAATAGTAAAATCGGCGCTAATATTCATATTAAATACAGACGCCAAAACTTATAGTAAGGGGGCATTCAAGTATTATATAGAATATTACGTAACGTAAATTTTGAAGATTTTTATATCCCCCTCCCGCCCCTGTAACTCATCGTAACGTTTTACAAGACCCCCCTCCTCCACCCTAATTTGCGTTACGTAATACTTGAACGCCCCCTAATACCCTATTCGACTATTCGAATTGGAAATTGGTTCGTGCTGTGGACACTGATGTGTTGTGTAGGAGCACGTGCTAAACATAGTGGTGCGCGTTTGTCGGCGCGAAGGCGCTGCAGCCGCGCGGTGTGCGGGCGCGTGCGCTCTCACCGCGCACGTCTGCCACGTGCTCGCCGCGCGCGCGCCTTGTCCGCGCCTGCCCGCATACGTCACTTGCCTGCTGCAGATGCTCATGGTAACCGCGCCCCTGTATGTGATAGTAGTGCGCTCTGACTCCGCGCGTGTGCCGTGTGCTCGCCGCATGCGCGTCCTGTCCGCGCCTGCCTGCCTACGCCACTTGCCTGCTGCAGATGCTCATGGTAACCGCGCCCCTGTATGTGATAGTAGTGCACTCTGACCCCGCGCGTGTGCCGTGTGCTCGCCGCATGCGCGCCCTGGCCGCGCCTGCCTGCCTACGCCACTTGCCTGCTGCAGATGCTCATGGTAACCGCGCCCCTGTATGTGATAGTAGTGCGCTCTGACCCCGCGCGTGTGCCGCGTGCTCGCTGCTCGAGCGCTCGAGCAAACCCAAAAATCCCCGCTTGGGCTCCCCTACTATAGTGCGCTCAGACCGCGCGCGTATGCCGCATGTTCGTGGATAGTGCGCAGGCGCGCTCCTCAATGAATAACGACTCGACGAACTCAATGAAATAAATATTTATTTCAAATAACTTTATAAAGTCACACTTTCAATATTTATTTACAAAATATTATTATATTATTATTATAAGCTTAAACTTATTTTTGTCGGTCATAATTGAAATCAACATTTCAAATAAAAACTTGTAGTTATTTATTCTATTAACGTATTTTATTTTATTTTATTTATTATGGTACACCAACAAAAATTGTTGTTACAGATGAAAAACAAAATTATTGCCAAAGTAGTGAGCGACTGTGTGTTAGTGCTCGCTGACTACACAGATCGAATCGTAGAATTATATCCAGGTCTTGCTGGTAAGTATTACGATGGTTTCATTAACACGTTCATAAACTCTTTAACTCTAAAATTAAGTTTATCTCATTTTCTTAAACAGGTAAAATAATAAAATGGATTTGCGCGTGTTTGGCTCAACTGTCTAGTATTAGTTCGCGAGACTCTGTGCGCCCTCTAGCGGGGTCTTTACTTCTATGCCTCGCGGAGTTTGCAGTTAGATGTGGTCCTGCACTACTTATGGAAGAAAAGGAAGGGGACCAGACAATCCTATTAATTATATTCAAAGTAAGTTTAATTTTAATGCAATGCTTATGAAAATATAAAATTTTGTGGATATTTTATATCATTCATATACATTCTCACATGCTTTCATAGGGGTGATGACAGGGTACAGTAAACGAAATTCTATTTAGTCCGTCAGTTAGATGATCAAAAAATAATGGACACGTATTTTTTCTTTGGGCAATCAACCAAAAAATGGCAAAGTTATGGCGCGTCAAAGTTTGGGAGTAGGGGCTCTTCACGTCACTTTTAAGTGAAAATTGTACCAAAACGTGACGTCATGCGACTTTTCAAATCAATATACCTCTGCAATGTTTATATTATGTGAAAAAAGAAAAAAATACGTGTCCAATACTTTTGATAATCTACCTGATAAATGAAAAAAAAAATTAGTCATCATCCCTATCGAGGACCCTCTTACGGTTGAGTATTGTATTACAAACAGACATGAGTACGAACTTAGATTTTGTTTATTTTTACCGAATATAGTGTTAAAGCACAGTTATTTAAACATACATACAGGAATCTGCCGCACTTACTTATTTTAAAACTGAAGCTTACGACCCATTTGTTCACACTTATTGGGATTCGCAAAAGGACGGGTTTTCATTTCGCCGGAATACAATTAACAAGAAAAACGCTTACGAGAAAAACTCCAAGCTTTTTTCTGCTATAGATTTCAAAATACTGAAAAAACGAATTGATTAAACATTGGAAATAACTAATTATACCAAACAACGTTACATAATCAGATACAATTCGTCCAATTTGTTCGTCTTTTTCCACATCACTCTTCATTGCAGAATGTAATTGTAATCATTTTTATGTTGCGTTATAAAACGGTAGCCTTTTTCAGCAATTTCAAAACTAAATGCTAAGCAAGGTTTTCTTTTAAACTATTGACTGATAAAATAAATGTGTTATTATTAATATGTATTTCTCCACATTACTGTTCTGGAGCCTGCGAAATAAGAATCCGTCCTTTTGCGAATCCGACGAAGTGCGAACAAATGTTACGACATTATATGACGGGTGAAGTGAATGATTGAAAATATAAAAAAATGCCCCAAATCTTACTGTATAATAGGAATATGCTTGATTTTTTTTATATTTTTATTAAGTATCTCCTTTTTACTGTAAAAAACAATCTACGCAGAAAAAATAGTATAACGTGTCTAAAAAAAATGTTAAGAATAGCCACTTTGCACGGGCAGTTTAAACGCGCGCTATTTTCGGCCGCTTGTATGTGACGTCAAGATACATCTAAACCTACAAACAAGATCAATTAATGACCTTACCTTAGATATATAACTTGATACACCTTAAGACATACTGACATTTTGCGTTTCATACCTTCACTGCGGATGGAAGTCGGAACCTACGACAATTAAATAGACAATAACCTTTTTTTTTTTTAATTTAAATCTCATAGTGAAAAGTTGCATTTGGTGTGTAGGCGTTCCAACGCTACTTTGACATCTACGTCGCTTTTCAAATTATTTATTTCCCACAAGATTTTCGTACTTTTATATCATTAATTTCTTCCTCGGAAAGAAGTTTTATTAACAAATATTAATAGAGGGATAACTTATAAGTAATAGGGTTTATGTAAAATTAAAATGAGGCATATTAGAATTACATGCACATTCCCTATAGGTATTAAACTTAAAAAATGGTCGGGTTGTGTTTCTGTTGCCAATGGATGAGTAAAGCACTTCCTATGGATTTGAAAGATACTTTTTTATCAATGTTTTCACGCACAAACACTATTTTTCCGGCTAAACAGCTAATACTTTGTGTTATGTATGTACTAATGTGTATTAAGATTTTGCTATTCTGCTATTGTACAATGTCATAGACCAGAGGTGACAGAATAATTTAAGAAAGGCATTTAAAGTGAATTTTTTGTTTGTATTAAACCGGTTAACAAGGTAAAATTAAATGAGAAAACAGAAATTAAATAAAAAATATATTACTAAAAACTATTACAAAAATATAAAAAAAAACCATCACATTCAACAACATGATTGATGCACAAAACTAACCGAAACAACATAGTTTTATAACCTATAGCAAAATCTACAGCATCATGAAGTACGAATCGTAACGTTTGCGCACAGGAATTAGTTACAAAACATAGCTGAAACAATTCATGTACTACTTAAATGACATAAACGTAACTCGTGAACCTTATGGCGACGTGATAAAGGTGGTTTTCGTTACGTGTGACTAGTGGTATTTGTAGTGTCTATTGTTGTCCGGGATGCTCAACGTGCTCTTGTGGTTGGAAGCCGTGTTCGTCCGCGGTGTACGTGACGGTGTAAACGAGGCCGTCGGGAGCCAAGTATTTGTAGCTGCCTTGCACCTCTATGGCCTTGTGATCGTCGCTGATTTGCTTCAGCGTACCTTGCTCTTGGCGTGAAGTACCATCACTGGTTTCAAACCTGTTAAACGAAAATGGTTTTATCAATATTCTTAAATAAGCGTTGTCTATCTATAGAAAGGGAAAATTTGACATTATTAAATAATCTAATCAAAATTAATATCGCTTTCTACAAAGAAAGTACATTGTTAAAATATAATCAACTTATATGAAAGGTGTCTTTAAAAAAGGGGGATAAGCTGTTATCGGCAGATTTGCCACTTCGTAATTATATTCGATCTTACAAAAAACCCGGGCAAAGTAAAACTATTTGCAGTAATGTACTAAGTAAGTCTTGCCGATTATTTAATTTTCGTTGAACTCTGACAAGAGTTCAACGAAAATTAAATAATCGGCAAGAAAGCGCAACCGAACCGCAATCGATACCGTTTACCATTATAACTAGCGTCCATTGGCGAACATCGTCTTTAATATCAGATCATATGAAAGATATGATTAGGACTCATAAATATTTATATATATATATATATATATATATAATGGGATACATTACGCAAATTGGTAGCCGTCAGGGTGGACATTTGCATCTTGCTTCAGAATGTAGACTGGATCTTGCTGTTGCTGAGGAGCAGCACAGGCTACGACCACCATAAGAGCACAGAGCACCTAAAAATAAACATAAAAATCAACTTAATACTCATTCATAATAGGTCATTTGTGTACACAGAAAAGTTGTGAATTCGTCACCAAAATGAGCTAGGTGAAAAAACGCCTGACACATGTGAAACTCCATACTCATGTTAAAAAGTAATAAAAAATATATAAATTTGTTAAGAAAAAGTAATTAAATTTAGAACACAAAATATATTGAGCTTTGGAAAATAAATCAACTTAAATTTGGCTTTCTCTGAGTGACCATTACACCAACGGTGCTTTTACAAATGCTGACTAAATAAGGTTGTAGGTGTTTGCGACCATTAAGTGTCGCTACTCAACAGTCGCTCTCACACCTACTGCCTCAGATGTACATCATAAATATTTGTATCTACCTTAATAGTCCAGTCAATGAAGGCAAAAATCAGCTACAACCTCCGATTTCGTTGAACCTTCATCGATTTTCATGAAAATTGGTGAGTAGGTGAGGGATACCTTAAGAAAGAAAAGTGACATAGTGCCAACTTGCGCTTTTGCCCTGGGGGTAGATGTCACTCGTCCCGGGGGGTGAAAATAATTTTAATAAAATAACTCGAGAAATCGATAGAAAGATAAATTCTAAGCAAAATTTGTTATAAATAAAGATTTTGGAACAAACCAATATTTTCTGAGTTATTAAAGACCAAAGATTGTGATTTTTCATGATAAAAATACAAGTTTTTATAAATAACTCAAAAACTATGAGTTTTTACAAAAAATGTATTATTACCAAAATTAAAGCTAGTAAAAAAGCCAACAAAAATCCTACTTTGAAAAACCTTCTAATATTAATTCAAAGTGAGCTAAAGGAAATTGTAAGTATATTTTTTTCGATGAGTACTTAAATCTAAGTATTCAAACCTTAATAACGGGAAGCCGATGCATTTTATGACATATACTTCCAGATTGCTTTTTAAAATCCTTGGAAATACCTTTCTATTGAGCACTGTAAAAAGTTAAAAGTATCAAAATTGAGCAAGTTATGATAAACATAAGATGACACTTTCGATTTTTTTTGGAAAAGACGAAAAATATTTTTTTTTACCATTTCCACAAAAATTCAAATTAATGGTTATCCCTGAAGGACTTAGTTATTTATAGCATAAGCGACGACCTCATAAATTTTGCCCGGTTTAAAATGCTTATTTTTCAAAACAAAGTATCATTTAATAAAATCGAAATTTTTCATATTTTCGTAAATTTCATTTTCTTTTGAAAGTAACTTCAAAAATCTTGGATATTAGTAAAAATGGTAAGTGACGAAATTTCGGTTCTTTTTTTAACAAAGATTTTGGTTTTTATTTTATTTTTATAGAATGTAAAATAACCGAGATAGAGACGCTTAAAGCCTATCTTTTACTGCGAGAATCATGTAACCCTTTAACGCATTATCTTTTAAAAATAAGGGCTTTAAACCGGGCAAAATTTTTGAGGTCATCACTTATGCTAGAATAAAAAAGCCTTTTAGAGATAACCGTAAATTTTTTTTTTTTTTGGAAATGGTGAAGGTTTTATTTTATTAACTTTTTACAGTGCTCATTAGAAAGGTATTTCCGAGGACCTTAAAAAATGTTCAGGAAGTATATGTCATAAAATGTTATTTAGCTTTGAATACTTAGATTTAATTACTTGCCGAAAAAATGTACATACAATAACCTATAAGCTCACTTTGAATTAATTTTAGAAGGATTTTCAAAGTAGGGGTTTGTTTGTTTTTTATTAGCTTCAATTTTGGTAATATTTTTTTTTGCAAAACTCATAGTTTTTGAGTTATTTATGAAAAACCACTTTAAAACATTACTTTTATCACGAAAATTACTAACCTTTGATCTTTAATAACTCAGAAAGTATTGATTTATTCTAAAAACTTTATATAACAAATTTTGCTTAGAATCTGTCTCACTATCGATTCCTGGGGTTGTTTTTATTAAAATAATTTTCACCCCCGGGCAGGGGTGGCATCTACCCCCAGGGTAAAAGCGCAAGTTGGCAATATGTCACTTTTGTTTCTTAAAATATGCCCCACTTCTTACCAATTATCATGAAAATCGATGGAGATTCAACGAAATCGGAAGTGAAAACCTTCATTGACTGGACTATAAAGTTTACTTACGAATTTATGCATCTTGATGAAGGTGTGAATATTATGTTCTCAAATAAGACGGTAGTTGAAGTCAGCTGTCGACTGTGAAGACACCGGTACGCGTGTCTGTTATAAATGCTAACTGTAATTGATGACAAAACTGAAGTATGGCGGCTCACCTCTGGGTGCTAATTAAAAGAGAGCCGAGTTGTCCTACAAAAATGTGATCAAACGAAGCGTTACATAAGTAATATAACTTTTTTTCGCTTGAAATGTGTAGGAAACCTTGAAAGTGATTCATACCCATGTGTTAAATTAAGAATTTAGCGCGAACAAAAGAGAATCTTGTCATTGGCAATAAATTTCTCAATATGAAGTTGCCTAGCAAAAAAATGCATGATACAATAACCCCGTTATTAATAATCAAGGAATAAGCTTGAACTAGTAACGCCGTGTTTTGTTCATGTCACTCAAATGCCATTTGTCATTCAATGAAAAAAGACTAAATATGGAGTAACTAAACCAAGCTTATTCTTCGTTTATTATATAAGGGGGTTAGTGTTCATTTATTTATACTTTATGTATTGAAATAATTAATCTTTAAATTAATAGGTAGAAATATAATACCTACCTATTATTGCTACTAGAATATTATGGTAATATGTGTTCAATAATGTTTGACCTCTGGTCTTGGCAACGTTTCTAGGATTCCAAATTTATTAATATTTCTTTGAGGCTGGATGTTTTGTACATAATAGCTACTTACTTACTTCAAGATGATGTAAATGTAACATGATATAATAATGAATAGAAATTCTTGTTCTTGCTAGATAGGTTTTATATCATTACTTCAATTTTGACATATTCCAACTCAGAGCTCCATTACCACAGTCCCAGAGTTTATTAGGTCCTAACAGCCTATTCCTTCTTTTCAGGTATTACACGCTGTGATGAAAGGAACAAATGGATCTGAAATAGAGGGATTATCTTTACCTGTCGATGAAGATTTCGACCCAAACATACAGTTGGACAATTTAGGACTTAAGTCTTCGCCTGTTTCTACAATCGACGTAAAATTGTGGGCACAAACGGTAAAAATATTATTTAAAAATCCTTTTTCTTTAATCACAAATCTTTGTTTTAAACGTCTACGGATGTTTATAGCTATATAAGTATCCTATTTGATGTTATATTTTAGATCTTAATTTATTCTCCTCTGGGATTTCTGGGATATCTGGGATTTATTTTACTTTAATGTAACCATGTATAGTGGGACTATGTAGTGCTCTTTGCTAATTTATAAATAGTGTCATTGTTGTAAAATAAGCGCTCATACATAATGAACAAAGCCGTAATTGTTGAACTTGGTCTTCTACCGCGATCCATTCCATTCCATAGTTGGGAAACAAATCGTTTATGTCACATTGACAGCTTTTTTTAGCTTTGAAGAATTAATATGCAAAGGTTTAAAATTGGTTGGAATTCCCGCTAGATATGCAGTCAGCTGGTGGTGTTCTTGGGCCACTGGCCGCTATGGGGCGGCTGTCAAATATCATGCCGCGTGTGCGAGCAGCACGACAGTCCAGCACTAGGCGGGGAGTTGGGCCCCGCGGTACTGGCGGCGCCACACGTTCAACTGATGCGGCTCAGCGACGCCACGCTCGCCTCGTTCGTGGAGCTGCCGGCGCTCGACATGCCGCCCGGTGCCGCCGCCACCACGCCAGGTATCCTATTGCCTGTGTCCGCGTCACTGTATACAGGCGCTCGGATCCCGGCGCTGCTAGTGACACCGCACGTGCAGCTGATGCGGCTCAGCGACGCCACGCTCGCCTCGTTCGTGGAGCTGCCGGCGCTCGACATGCCGCCCGGTGCCGCCGCCACCACGCCAGGTATCCTATTGCCTGTGTCCGCGTCACTGTATACAGGCGCCCGGATCCCGGCGCTGCTAGTGACACCGCACGTGCAGCTGATACGGCTCAGCGATGCCACCTCGCCTCGTTAGTGGAGCTGTCCGCGGTCTACAACCCGCCCGGTGCCGCTGCCGGTATCTTACTGCCTGTCCCCGCGTCTCTGTATACACACGCCTAGGGTCCGGCGCTGCTAGTGGCACCGCACGTGCAGCTGATGCGGCTCAGCTACGCCACGCTCGCCTCGTTCGTGGAGCTGCCGGCGCACGACATGCCGCCCGGTGCCGCCGCCACCACGCCAGGTATCTTATTGCCTATTCCCGCGTCACTATATACACATGATGCGGCTCAGCGACGCGCCACGCTCGCTGCTTGATTCCATGCCACCTCAATGATTTTGGCTGCATTAACAAACATTAGCGCCCATCGAACCGCCCCCAAGTTCTTATGAGAAATTCCTTAGCTCCAAATGGATACTATTACAGGTTAATCATGGCTAATAACCAAATGATTGCTTATTGAGAGCAAGCGCACATTGAACGACTCAACGCGGCCACTAGAACGCTTAGTTTGCTACAATACTATACAAAATGTATGAAAAAACTCGTCCGCAGCTTGTGGACGCGTTTAATGGCCGCCACTGGTGGCTCAATTTGCGCTTACTGTAACTGTGACATTGATAGTGAACAGGGTATTAGAAACAGCTGTAATCAAACTTCGATAATATGAAAACTTTTGTAACAAACTGAAGCGAGCGAACTGAAAAAACTAGTTTTCTTATCTAATGGAGTTCATGTGGTTATAGGTCTATCAACGTCGGACCGACAAGTGCGTGTCTTGCTGCGCGACATCGCCGGGAAGGCTTGTTGGGACGCGTCCGCACTCTACTACGACCCATCCTCCAGTTCAGAGGAACCCCTCGAACCTTTACCTCTGCCTGATAGGTAAGAAAAACACAATAGGGTATTTGACAAGTTTCAGAAAACAATCTCACTTTTTTACTTCGTCTTTCCGTTGTGTATTTCAGTAAAAAAACTTAATCTTAAATTCCATTTTCAAGTTGGCGTTTCACTAGTATGTGAAGTCACACAATTGGCATTTAAACGTCAAACGATACAATGTAATATACACTTTAACCGGAAGTTAACTAGCATGTAAAGTCAGTTGTCATTGCCAATCCGCTTCCGGTCACTTAACCATAGAACAAAAATATATTTCTATTAAATGATGTTTTAAGAAAAGTTATTATATTTTCTCTCAGAATAGTAAAATCACTGCTAATATTCATATTCACAGATTCCAATATTTTTCATACTGTCAAATAAATAACTTATTCTCAAACCTTATCAAACAAAAAACAAAGTTGTGTTAACGGTTAATATTTTTTTATTACTAGAGATAATTTGTTATAGCGATGACGTTCCGCGGGAAAATACGTTATCATCACTCCCACCGCCGTTACCACCGGATCTACTTCCAGATTACAAAAACTCACCGCCAGACAAACATCAATTAGATCACGTAAGTATTTATTTAGTACATTAGAAATAGTTTAACGGGAATACAAAGACCTTAATCATCATCAACCTATTAATGTCCCCACTGCTGGGGCACAGGCCTTCCCTATTGGTAGAATAGGGAGATGGGGCCATGACCCACTACGCGGGCCCAGTGCGTATTGGTGGGTGCTAATGACTGCAGATGCTGCCGGGAACAACGCCTTAACGTGCCTTCCGAAGCACTGAGGAGCTTGAGATAGTAAATTTTTGGTCACCATCCAATGACTAACCACAGCTAATTTTAACGATCACAGCCGAACACGCTGACCACTTGCGCCATCGAGCTCCTCAATCTCCTTAAAAGACCGAAAGAGTTTTTTATATCTCTAGGTCCAAACAAATGACTTTACACATACTCCAGCCCACCTTGTGTTAAGTGACAGTGTAATAGACGTACAGATGGCTGGTGTTATCTTTTTACGTGCCACACAATTTTGATGTAGGTTTGAATCCCAGTGGGACAAATATTTGTATAATGAATATGAATATTTGTACCTAAATCATGACAGTTTATATACTACGTGTATCAGAAATAAGGCAACTTATAGCAGTATTATTTAATGTTTAATGTTACCTAATCATGGGGTTTAGGTGTTGGCGTATATCGGGCACACGTCACCGGAAGTAGTGGGGGGGCGTCGGTTAGACGGTGCGGGCGCATCCCCATTACCGCACGGTGCAGAAGACGAACTAGTGGCCACACTGGTGTCGCATAGGAACGCCGAACGAGCATACCTCGCCAATAAAGACAGGTAACTTTATTCAGATCATCATCATTAGCCTAATTATGTCCCCACTGCTAGGGCACAAGCCTTCCCTATGGATGGAATAGGGAGATTGGGCCATGATCCAACACGCTAGCCCAGTGCCGATTGGTGAGAGCTAACGACTGCAGGTGCAGCCGTAAGCAATGGCATAACGTGCTTTTCAAAGTACGGAGGAATTCGAGATAGCATCAATGACCAACCACTGAGAAAGTGGCTTAACTTCAACGATCGCAGCCGCGCTAACCACAACTGGCGTCACCGAGCTCTTCAATCTCTTTTGTTCAGATCTTACGTTTGTTTTTGATGTTTCTGTAGCAAGACTAGTCAGTTGCAAAAGAAGATGGGACCGCAGTTATACTTTCTGGCTTGAACTCTTTTCTCATATCCCGTTGTAATCTAGCAACCTCAGTCGCTGCATGATCTACTTTTGTAGACAAATAAGTAGTGTTATTTGTCTACAAAATGCTATACTATTTCCTGGTTGCACATTTTTTAGACTCTGCTTAGAAAATTGAGTGCATGGTTGTACGGTGCGACCACTAACGACCAAAAATGTGCATTTTTGCAAGTCTGCAGTTTAATTAGGTCGATGCAATTTACGCCATTTACATGATTTAAAGAATAGTTACGTTTTCACCTATTACACGGCGGACGCGTACTCAATATCAATTATATCATTTAATTTAATAATACCAAATATCAAATCAATAAACTATAAAATTATATCAACTGTTTCTATTTATAATCAACATCTAAAGGTGTCAAGTACAATGGTGAAAGCCAGTCTTAAAAAATAATTGGCACCCATACACAGAAACGATAAATTTATTGTACTTAACGCTTTATTAAGTTACGTGCTGTTACATTCTATTATTATTGCAAAAAAGTGACAGCACCAATTTTATTCAAACTGCAAGTTCAATTTTGTTCTTTGATTACGCTTTAAGGGCCTGCCCTGCGTTAAGTGGGAGCACGGAGCAGATATCAACTCTACGTGCAGTTTCATGTCATTTCAGCGCTGCAACAAGAGAAACGCCTCACGCAGTGCTGCTTTATGAAATAACATGAAAAAAACACGCGGAGCGGACGTCCGCTTCGTGCTCCCGCTTAACGCAGCGCATGCCCTAGGTTTTTTTTTTTGAGTGTGTACGCTGATGGTCGCAGATGACCTTTACAACGTCACCTGGTTTGGGGACGGCGAGATCCTAAGGGGACCTCAAGCCGAGAATGGGCGAGTGCCTCTAAAGGTATTCCAGCCGGATAGCATCTCCCCACGGGGGGAGTCTCCTCTCCGTCTGGAGCCTCTAGACCACTCGAACCTGAGGGGTCGCCCTACGATATTTTTTTCGATCCTATTATTACATTGTCAATGTCGTGGCACAGTGATGACGAAGCAGAGCCGGGTGAATGGTGCGGTCCGGTGTCGCCGGGCCCGTTCTCACAGTGTCGGTTGCTGCTAGCACAACTCGGGGCACTGGCGCCCGCTCGTAGGGCGCACGTGCAGCTGCTGCGGCGCTCCGACCGGCTGCTGAGGGAACTGCGCAACCTGGACGGGCAGCGGTGAGATTAATGCTTAGTGATTTATTTATTTCAAATTACTAAAATTTTATTCGACTCAAGACGTTTACATGAAATACATAAAAAAATGATCTTATATATAAAATTCTTAAAATTTTATAGTTTAACTTCTCCGAAACGACTCGAACGATTTTCGTGAAATTTTATATGCATATTCAGTAGGTCTGATTAACGGATAACATCTATTTTATCCCCCTAAATGTAAAGGTAGTCCACCCTTAATTTTTTTTTTGACAAAATTTTTCGTCATAATTTTTATTTTTTTTAAGCATGTAACTGCTTGATGTTTAAATCTAAAGAAAATATAACTAGAAAAATTCCACGCGGACCAGGCTTCATCATCAGGCATGAATTTGGTCAGTGCATTCGCCCGGATAGTGAAGGGTGTGGGTTCGAGTACTTCGAGTCCCGTCTGCTGCCTGGTCCCCGTGGATTTTTTTCTAGTTATATTTTCTTTAAATATTTTTGCTTTTATTTTTTAATGATATATCATACAAAAATACATACAACCCTACATTTTCACCCTTCTACCACCAACCCCTATTTTTTTATGGCGGCACGAAGTTAGCTGGGACAGCTAGCCATTAAATAAACTCAATGAGGGCATTTAGTAAAATTTACGTCACCAGTTGGCGTCACTGTGACAAGAGATTCGTCTATATGAAGTTTTTGGCGCAAAGTTATGACGACAAAAACGACGACGTGATTTGACGAATGAGTATACCTTTCCTCCCACTGCTGTCACCTGGCGCACGTCATTCCAGAAAACTCGCATTGTAACGTCAACTAAATACATATTGGTTTAACCTTGCCAGATGTCGCGAAACGCACAAAGTGGCAGTGATATACGTGGCGAAAGGACAGGAGAACCGAAACGAGATACTATCAAATCGCTGCGGCAGCCCTTATTATGAGGCGTTCCTCGCCGCGCTGGCATGGGAGGTAAGTGGCAACTTTACAACTGATCATAATATCATTCATTTTGTGTGCTTCTCATCCTTAATTAGACTTAAATTATTAATTGTCACCATTAACGTAGAAAAACAAGTTGACTCCCAATCACCATATCAAAAGTGCATTAAAAAACGTTCGAGTGGCGCTGTTCTATACATAAACATCAACTTGTATAGATTGGCGTTAATACATTTGTTCAATATGACCCGTTATGTCGTGGCAGTAAAATTCAATGTCGAGTGTTTGAAAATTACGCACAATAGGCGAGTGTGCGTAATTGTTTTCGAGCGCGACTGTGAGTCTACTTGTTTATATACGTCAATGATTTGTCACCCACGAATTCAATTTTTTCATGTGTATTAGTTTTTTTTGGTAATGCCTTTGTATGCTCTAGCTAACAACCTTTGGTCACCTAGCTGCGTATGACATGTCTTCTAGAAATTCTGTTATAAACCCCGGAAAACTTCCCGGGCACCGATCATAGGCTAGGAAAACTGTGTAGTATCAATTTTTAACGCAAAAACGTCTACTGCGCTTTTTAGTTTGTGGTTTTGCTCGAGAAGTTGGCCTCTACCTATAATGTGTACTGTGCAGGTGGAACTGGAAAGCCACGTCGGCTTCGCTGGAGGTCTCCGCGGCGGTGGTGGAGGGGGTGTGAGCGCGCCCTACATCGCCACGCTGACTCTAGAGGCGTTGTTCCACGTAGCCACTCGTATGCCCGCCGACTCCGCCGACGCTATACTCAACAAGGTAACTGTACGCACGTGCTTCTGTGTATCGTGAAGGTGGTGTGAGTGAGGCGCCCTACATCGCCACGCTGACTCTAGAGGCGTTGTTCCACGTGGCCACTCGTATGCCCGCCGACTCCGCCGACGCTATACTCAACAAGGTAACTGTACGCACGTGCTTCTGTGTATCGTGAAGGTGGTGTGAGTGAGGCGGCCTACATCGCCACGCTGACTCTAGAGGCGTTGTTCCACGTGGCCACTCGTATGCCCGCCGACTCCGCCGACGCTATACTCAACAAGGTAACTGTACGCACGTGCTTCTGTGTATCGTGAAGGTGGTGTGAGTGAGGCGGCCTACATCGCCACGCTGACTCTAGAGGCGTTGTTCCACGTGGCCACTCGTATGCCCGCCGACTCCGCCTACGCTATACTCAACAAGGTAACTGTACGCACGTGCTTCTGTGTATCGTGAAGGTGGTGTGAGTGAGGCGGCCTACATCGCCACGCTGACTCTAGAGGCGTTGTTCCACGTGGCCACTCGTATGCCCGCCGACTCCGCCGACGCTATACTCAACAAGGTAACTGTACACACGTGTTTCTGTGTATCGTGAAGATGGTGTGAGTGAGGCGGCCTACATCGCCACGCTGACTCTAGAGGCGTTGTTCCACGTGGCCACTCGTATGCCCGCCGACGCTATACTCAACAAGGTAACTTTATCACTTAACACATACATCAACATATTTTAGTAACCAATTTATATTGATAAAGTAGTGGGCAATATTAATTTCCCATACAAACTTTGAACCGCCGGTTAACTCCTTTAGGGGGTGAGTTTTGGAAAATCCAGTTCTGCGACGTGTTCATTCTATTTAGTTTTTAAACCTAAAGCTACTAATAATAACCATCAAAATCATGTGAACTAAGTATCCTGTTACATTGCAGACCCGACATTTGGGCAACGACGAGGTACACGTAGTGTGGAGCGAACACTGGCGGCCGTACAAACGGGACACGCTGCCCACGCAGTTCTGCGACGTTCTCATTGTATTGTACCCGCTGCCCGGTGGACTGATACGGTGTACTGTGTCTAGGAAGCCTGACGTGAGTTGTCATATATGATGTTACATTAGCTTTATTAATGTTAAATGGTATACCGCCTTATTACAAAACGTAGACTAAAGTTAAACCTGGGCTTAAACTGATGCTGTCACTATTGTTTAATAAAATAAGACAGAGACAGCATTAGGTTTAAACTTTAGTCCGTGTTTTGGAATAAGGCGGATAGTCTGTTCGTGCGGAAGAACACGGTTCAAATTTTTAAGGAGGGTGATAGTCTCCGGCAGATTCTATTTTTTTATGACATGTAGTGTACATAATTCTAAATCGTTTGACAAAAAACTAGAATTATTATAAACCTGTTTTTTTTTAATATTTATTTTAATTTAAAATGACATAGTTATTGATTAGAGATTGGCTAGATTATTAATGTAATGTTTGTTGCCAAAGCATCAAATGTATTCTATTCAATAGGTAACTAAAATAGTGATAATGATTCCGTTCATCTCGTTATTTTAATAGGTATTTTGTGGGTATTAAATTTCAAGAAAAATTGGTATATTAATTTCACTACAATTTCAATAAAATCGGGCATGACTGGACTGATTGACATTTAAAGTGATTGAGTTGACGTTAATAAACTGCTACAGTTTCAAAATAAAACGTTACTTATATCAGGGTGGCCAGCATCTTTAGGAAATTGTTGAATATTCAAAGAATACTTAAAATTGATCAGAGATAATAAAAAAAATGTAAATATCTTTTCATGCTATTACATAAAACAAGGTTTCTCATGATATACATATGTTGCATAACTGCCTGAAACCGACTACCACTTTTGAACCATCGCCTTTTAACTTGATGTGCTCAATAATAAAGTTCATCTGTTTTTTGTATTTCAGTTCTTGTAATAACTGTAAGATTAAGTTACAATGAAGGATGATCCACTTTTTATAAGAACTTATAGTGAGGAGACCAACTATTATATTTCTCTACTACTGTAATAACTGGAATTTAATTGTATTAAAAAAGTGCATTCGCTTTTCCCCTTAGAGTTAATATGTAATCTACTTCCTTCATAAAAAAGTTAATTTAAAAACGAACACTTTACTACCTCTAGCATTTATGTCAGGGCTCCTCTTGACATTTCAAAATAAGTAGCTGTAATCTAGTTGTATTTTGTTTGTGTCCTATTTTCTGGTTTTATATGTGAGTTTTGGTAGCATAATAGTTCATACTTAACTCACACAGGTATGCGTGTTCGGTCCGTTATGGGAGGAGTGTACGATCCGTGTCAGTTGCGCGGCCGCTTTAGTACGAGGGGCGGCATTCGCCGGAGGAAGGGCTGTTAGAGCCACAATGCCTTTATATCAACACGCGTACGCAGAACGGGCTAGAAGTTTAGACGCCCTAGTGTCTCACCACACGCAGCCTGCAACCTTCGAGTACTTCGTGCAACGTATACGGGAACCGGTCCCGCCCACAGTCAACGTGCCCGTCGCTACTGCATCCACTGGTATCTATTCCTATAATTAAATAATAATAATAATAAATAAATATTTCCAACACTCACACCAATTAGCCTAGCCCCAAAGTAAGCTCTGTAAGGCTTGTGTTAATGGATGCTAGGGTAACGGATAGAATACATATACTGTATATAATATATAAGTATATTTATACAGAAATATATGTTAAACATCCATGACTGGAGTACAAATGCTCGTATTCATCACACAAACCCCTGCCCCCACCGGGATTAGAACCCGGGACCTCTCGTTTCGGCGACACCATGAAACCCGGCGTACAAACCACTCGACCACGAAGATCGTTAAATGTTTTCTTTGTATAAACACGCACAAGGAAAAGCTGTCGTCAAATTGAATTTTAGGTTTAGTGAATCATGTTAGAATAGGGCCCAAGTATCGTGTTAATTATAACTATTTTAGCGCACTTTCGTATTCAATATTCATGGGTTTTAAATTATATTTATTTCCTGAAATATCTCTAGGAAGCCTTTTTGTTTTGGAATACCAATAATAACTTTGTGATAGATAAAACTCGTTTTACTTGAGAAATTGACCTTAGTAAGTAGGCACATCCACATCACAAGTTTACAATCCACGCAATGAAATTCATTTTGACAGCTAATGCGGCCGATACTTTAAGACAAGTCGGTTCGTCTAACAAATTGAATCATGTATCTATATATATAGGTGTGTAATATGTGTGTATTCTGTTAAGAGTTTTGTATCCTAGGTTTATCTTACATTTGTCTTTATTGCGTCCCCGTCATATTAGGTTTTTTCTCACGCTCTGACTGGTCGACTGGTAGAGAATGCCTTATAGCATTACGTCCGCCATTTGCTTTGTTAGTTTGCAATAAAGTTTAAATTGATAAATCATTAACAGATCAAGGAAGCGGTCGTCTAGCCGCCGCGTTGCTCGACCACGGCGCCAGCACGTGGGTGAGCAGTACCTCTAGCACCGGGGCAGACTCGCACGCAGTTTCCCCGCGCCCCCTCAAACGACTGGGGCCCTTCAAGCGGCCCCTCGTGCCCCACCCCGCCCCACACTCCGCGCCCCTCCCCACCCAGGCCCCGCCCCATCCTGCCCCGCGCCGGAATCGGTGAGCTGATCAACAAATTTAACACAACGAGATCAATATTACACACAAGAGAACAAACTTGCTTGATTGAACGTAGCACAGGACCACATGCATTTTAGCAGTGTCTCATCATACACCCATCCTCCAGTTACACAGCCCGCGCTGGAACCGGTAAGTTGGCCAACCATCTTGACTAACGAAACGAGATCAATATTACCCAAGAACAGAAGAAGAATGACCATAGCGCTCGTTTGACTCGTAACCCAAATCGCGTCGCGTGGCGTTGTACAACCAAAATGTTCTATAGCTAAGTGGACTTCAGCAATAGAATAGCGGTTGATTTGTAAACATCTGAAGAGCCCCAAGTCATCCCCATCAAAGTGACGCTATGTCGAAGAAACCGATGGGTTGCTAAACTATTTTTACAAAAAACGGCACGGTAGAAAGGCTTCAATATAATTGACAACGGCGCAGGCTCTTACACAGGTTCATTTTAGCAATTTGATGAAAATATCTGTACTTAAAATTATTTCAAGTGTGCAATGGAGGGTAGAGCCTTTTAAAAATGCAAATATCTTTAAGAAATGCGTCGTTAATTGCACGAAATTCATGTTCGTCTATGAGAGCAAGACTTCATTTCTAATGCCGGCACTTACTTAACGTATTTTCTATTTGTAAACTTGACAATACAGTATGTCCCTATCATGCTTTATGAGGAATGAAAAGGGCAGACTGGTGTCAAGTATTATATTGCCTGCATAATGAAACAAATAATACTTGTCATACGACCTCACTACACAGACAGTTAGTTACGATTACAATAAAAGTTTGGTCGCTTGAAAATGTCAAATCACATTTGTCAGCTGCAAAGTACTTAAAATTTAAAAATCACCCCCATTTTTCTCTGTATAAAGTCGCCGTTACTAAAGCTGAAAATCGAGTTATACTATTGGGTACTTGGAACATGTGTATAGCGAATTAAATTTATGTACAGCCAGGACCTTTAATTTGAGACCTATGCATTACCCATATTTCATTCGCATGCAAGAAGGTTGAAATTTCTAGATTAATGTACATAGTTTCATAACGTAAAGTTTTTTCCTCCTACCTCCTTGCATGAAATCATTATCCAAATTGTAATAAAAAATATAATATTACTGTAATTATTTCTTGTTCATAAACAATACCAAAGTAGTATCATCAGAAAAATCGATGGACGGGGGTAGGTTGATTGATTGGAATCTGAGCAGTTCTCTTCTGATGTTATTATCTCTGCTCTGATAGATTATATGTTTTGGCAACCTTTTGTGTCGGAAGAGTCAATAATGAAAATTTACAACTATTCAAAGTTTTAAAGAGCCACAAAAGAGTTTTCTTGCTAACAATAAATAGTCCTTGAAGAAATAAAGATTTTTGATAAAAAAAACTAATATATTCATTAGAAAAAATATCTGTTTATTCATTTATAAACAGATATTTTAAATTAATGCCTTTTTATTGAGAAATGTATTTATTTCATTCAAGCACAAAGCAAAACGTTTCAACACCTTACCTTTGGAGAGCCATCACACTTTACTGTGATTAAGGAGGTCGGAATACTGAGTCCCCATTTCGTCTAAGAATTCTTTAAATTGTCGATGGTAAAGTCCTGTTAACAATCTTGATTACCAAATTCATAACCTGGATTACCAAATAAAATTAATTCATTGTTCATAGATTCAAAACGATTATGATTTTTGTTTATAAAATTAATATTATTTGCGTATGGAACTAAAGAGCCACAACTTCACATCCAAAGAGCCGCATGTGGCTCGCGAGCCGCAGGTTGCCGACCCCTGGCCTATGTTCATACGAAGAATGTAGTATTCCAAATATGATATAAAATATTCGATACAAACAAACAATGAAATCTTTCCTCTTTACAATATAAGTAAAGATAGTGGTGCAGTCCTACTCAAAAGTTTCGCACAAAATATTATTACATGATTTAAGCAGATCATACAAGCGTAAAAATGGTAAAGTTGTACGATGAGCAGTAAAATTTTTCGCAAATTCTATTATATATTAAAGCTCTATATGACCATTACTATGATAACCAAAGATTTATTAACTTGTATGAAACAAGTAAAAAATCTTGGATTTTATTATAAATGAAAATAGAATTAAAAACATGGATTCTGTTTTCTTTTCTTATAAGTACAACACTGCAGTTCTCGAAATGTTATAATTTTCAAGATTTAAGTTAATCCTATAATTATGATAAGCTAACATAGAGAAGTGATTTGAAGAAGTTAAGTTTTAAATAATAATTTTATGAATTGCTTGATAATTTATTTGTTTCACAAATGTTTACATATTTGTTTATGGAATTTAAAATATTTAATGACATCGATTATACTAAAAATCAACAAAACAACCCTTAAGACACGTTTCATAATAATTGAGTAAAGTTCTATTTTATGGTACTTAGAACTTATCTGCTTAGTAAACAAATAGGGATTTTGAATTTGATATAGACAGGGAATGTTTACTTGCTTTTAAACGCTTTTCCTTAAATTTAATCATCTCTATTCTTTACTAAGCAGCTTAGCTTACTTAGAACCTTACTCAGCGAATGTGAAACAGGATAGAAAAAATGTGCGACGAAAAATATTAATAAAACTACATTTATACAGTCAAGAGCAATACAGTAACATTGAAAGGCACATGTCACGTTTCAATATAATTAAACATGTTAAAATTAGCATTTTAATACATAAATAATTAATACATATTCCAATGTGACATGGTATGGATCTATTACAACATAGGTTTATGTAATTTTGCTCGTGACTGAGGTAGAGCGAGTGTCATGGCATGTCATGTCAGTGGCAGGTGCCACTACACCCCGTTAACGGCGCAGTAGTAAATATTTGCTTGTTATACCAACATAAAGTTTTGACATTTTGTAAGCGAATGAACATTTGTCAATGAGAGATTAGCATAATGAACTTAATGAAATTTTTAATGTACTTAATTTTTTTAATAAGCTTTTGTCTTGTATTTGCGGTTTTGTTAAAAGAACTTCTAGACAGGATTCGATTGAATCCCAAACAAAAAGTAACATAGCGCTCTTTATCTGTAAATATGTAAACTAGATCGTAGAGCTTTAACTGTTTGTAGGTTTTGGTTAATTTTTCTTATTTATTTGCACAATAAAATCTTTTGATATTGTACCTTACATTATTCCTCATTAATAACTATAACTGAAACAGACATGTAGATAAACATTGTCATATTAAATTATTCCTTTCCTATTTACACTGGATACCTACTGTTAAATTCAAATCATATGCAATTTCTTACAATGAATATGCATCTGATGGTTTAGCAACAGTCAAAACAGGCAAAAAGATTATTAGTAGCAATTATTATTAGGGTTCTATTAAAATATCAACGATAAATTACGTGTTTGATTCACTTCGTGATCTTTAAATGGAAACGTATATTTTACCGTTTATTAATATTAAACTAGAATGTCTGAAGATAGAAATTCTATTAATAATTACCTACTTTTATGCACTTTTACCAAACGCAGCGGAATATCAATTAAAATCCGCTATAAAATGAAACAGCAAAAGAATGCAAATATAAATAAACTCTTTGTTTATATGAAATAAGAAACTGTTTATGTAAATAAGATATAAAAATTGGTGCTTTAAAATGTTTTTTGATGTAACATTCCAAACTCATTATAACTTGCTACTTATATTTTGTTGCTCTTGAAAATGTAATTATATTTTTGAAGCAGCAAAAGTTAGCTGGTTTTGAATGCAAATTTATTTTAAAATACATCTAAGGAATTGCATTTATTGACAACAGAGATAAATGAAGCATTCCACACAACCTTGTATCAATAAAGAATCTGTATTGTTTCTCAGTATCATTATTAGTTGTAATTATTTATTAATACAATATGTAATTGTTGCTACCTTTTAATTTTAAACAGTATTTTATAGATGTTAAGACTGACACAATATTTTATGTATTGAAATCACTAAGTATTAAATTATTATTATACATAATTTTATGTGGTGGTGTAACAGTAATCTATTAATTTATTTAGTTTTTTAGCGAATACTGATCAAAGTAATGGCTTCACTGAATTGTTGCTTTTATATGTAATAATAAGTTATCTGGATATTAACCCACAGACATAATGTAACCAAATTTTTATATGAAACTATTTGAAAATAAAGTTTTGTTAAACTTTTCTGTTATTTTTATTTATGATACCAATTTAACTTATATCGACACCATACGTGTGTTGGCGATCCCGCATAAAATATAAAACAAAATAAATAAAAACTGTTATTAGTATATAATGATATAGTGATTTAACTTCACTACTTAGTAACTTATCTTACTTTGCTGTTTAAATTGATGAGTTCTATGCGCCGACAACGGCCGGCCATAAAAAAAAAAGAAAGGAAGGTCTGTCAGATGATCGTGAGAGAATGGGATAGCATTGTTTTGATAAAAAGAAAATAATACGCAATTGTTTTATAAATCCTAAAATAAAAGAGAAGTTATTATTGTACCGACAAGCGTTTGTAACAGTAATAAATAATTAATAACATCTACAGTTGTATTCACTATATTGACCCGTCAGAGAAGTTTAATATCCGAAGTGGTTAGAACGTTGGAAAACGCCCATTGGTATGTAAAACATTAATTAAAACTTTCGAATTATTTAGTGATCTTTTGATTATGTTTAAATACATTTTCAAATCAATCTAAAAGGTAAGAAGCATGTGTTAAATCCGATATATCCGGATATAGCCTTAATAAATATATACCTGGCTTACTACAAAATGTTCACAAGTTGACAAAAGAATTTGTTAAACTTAATTTATACCTTAAAAAGTGTTTTCGGTTAAAAAATACTTGCTTGCAGTACCTACCTGCCTAAATATTGTCAATATTAACTATGAAAATCGACTTTGTAGTCACAGTATGAAAGGACAGAAAGTTATCCAGACCAAGTATTATACTTTTAAATAGAATCTAAGTATTGCAAATCATTTTAAAGTTATTTGGTAATATTCATTTTCATTCTTTCATACATAGAGCTATTTGATAACTAATAGTTTTACAAATAACAACAAGGGTTACGTGTCAAGGTTCGGTATGAGTACACAAATCTCATAAAAAAAGGGAATATACTACTGCTTCACTAAAGCTATTAAACTACTTGACCGTCACTGAAAGCTTTATATTGAGATAGCACTTCCGTTTCCCGTCGAATTACCATCAGTTTCCGTACTTTTACTCATCTTGTATCCGGTCCAGTGGCGACACCTGGCAGAAGCGCGGCCATTTTTGTTTTCCTAAGTTTTGACAGCGCCATATTAAATCATTGGCGTTCTGACTCCCGTCGAAGCAACACGTGCTCAATCTGAGCGATCGTTGTGAGATTTTAAAGGTTTTATTATTATTAGGTGATAAAACTGTAAGTAAAACTATTTTATTTTAACGGTTTTTGCCGTTCGTGTTATTCCAAATAGGTACTTTACGTGTTAGAAGTGAAGGAACCGTAAGTAAAACTATTATTCTTTTTGATAGTTTTTGCAGCCCTTGTGATAAGGGATATTTAAAACAAATATGTTAAATTGTGCAATACCCTTGTTTAAAAAAGTTATAATAAGCCGTGAGTAAAACTTGACGGTCATTCAAGGTGCGTTTTGTTTAAAAAAATTAAAGTACCTACATTAAAGTAAATTTTGCAATCTTGACTGTCTTGGTCGTTTGTAATAAAAACTATTTTAAGAGTGTTTTCTCTTGGTACTCAATTAATGTTTCCGTATAAGTAAGTGTGTAAGTAAATTGGTAAATGTATTACAAAATACTTAATTAAATTATTTTATAGTTTAGAGTGAAGGAACATCGGTCAATATTGACGTTTCAGCCGCGAACTGACTGGCATTAGTGGCAAAAACAGCAAGATGGTTGAATATGTCATCTTCTGGTATAACGAAAGCGGCATCGCTGTCTCAAGAAAAGTAAG